ATAGGCAAATATGGGCGTTACGTGAAGCCCGCAAAAGCTGCACCGCATTTCGAGTCGAATGTGATTTATAAAGGGAAACCGGCGTAGGAAGTGCTGTACGCACTTTCCTCGCCGTTACGCAATGTTTGGTGAATCGGAAAATGTCGGAAAATTTCTGTACCTATTTTTGGGATTTCTACTACGTAAGCAACCTTCCCACGTGAATCCTACGCACGGCGTTATAAATGAGGCCCCAGAACAATTTGGAAAACATATCTAAGTGTTAGAATTTGACTGATATTGCAATTGTGATATGATTCAGGATATTGGAGGGATTTATCATCTTTGTGTCATTGTTCTCACTTTGATTGAAGAACGGATAGAACACCTGTATATTGTGATTACATTCAGACTAACTGTTTAGCCCTTAACATAACTACTCAGGCTTACATATACCTCATTCACACCAACGCAACTCCGGTTCAAGCTCCGTGCTAGAGCTTTTCAGGTTCAGAACCAGTTCTTCGGTTTAGCTCTGGATCTTTTCACACCGCCCAGAGTCCGACTGGTAATGCGTCGTTGCGTCATCGTTTACGTCATGACGTAACCGTTTGCGTGCCTGCTTCATAAAGCCAAACCGCGCGGATGAAATCAGTTGCATTCATTTCTTATGGCTCTATCTGCAGCTTTTCCGGAGTCATTTCTGTGGTTTAGTTATATTCTTATAAAAAAGTGTACTCGTGTCAATAAAGGTTTTTTTAAAACACAACTGCTTCCGAGGTCGGTCTTATTTCTTAAGGTGGACTGAACCATGAGTGTGGAGTAACGTTGTATCTTTCATTTAAATGAACTGTAACCTTCACCCAGGTATGTAACAGCTGTTCTCAAATGAACACGAAGTAAAGTTTAATATTTATAGTTTTATAGATTTATAATGAGTTATAATGAGAGATCAACGTGAATGCTCAGGTTCCACCTTAACACGCAGACACGTTGCTTCACCATGAGCAGAAACCTTTATATATACAGTCTATGGCAGAAATACTGAAACTCTTGTTAAGTTTCTCCATCGTTGTGCAAACTGGATAAAACGCGGGCTTTTTGTTGTTGTTCAGGAGTTGACCTGTCTCTGCCCCCGCCTCGACGTAAGCGTGACGTATGTGGTGCTTTTGCTCTGGCCGGAAAAAATGTTGGTGCTTGAAACGAACCGGATTCCGGAGCTAAGAGGCTGCTCCGCTGCGGTGTGAAGAGGAAAACCCGGTGCTTTTCAAGCTCCAGCTCCGAACCGGCCCTGAAACACCGTTGGTGTGAATGAGGTAATATTGAAATACCTCCTTTATTATGATAACAGATAACTGTTACCAGAGAATATTTTGAATCAAATATGGTTTAAATATTTGTAATTTCTAACAACTTTGAAACCACATCTCTGAGGGTGCGTTTCACCTCAGGCTCCTCAGGCTCGGTATCACCGGAAGGTGATTTGTCTGCACCATCTTGAGTAGCTTCCCAATGGCCTTATTTCTGCCGGATCGAGGAGCGATAACCGAGGAACTATCAGACCATCCTTTGATGAAATCCTCAGACACTCGCCCCGCCCCCTTACTGTGTATCGCTCACTGATTGGACGATGCAGCGCATGCACTGATCTGGCTGCTGTCAGACGATCAGCTGTGCGGCGTCCTCACACACGGAGTGACGCTCCGGAGGAAAGGACGTCCCATTGCTCTTAAAACTAATTTCCCTGCTTCTCGTGATTTCCTTGCGTCTCTCCATGCTTCCCTGGTGGGAGGGACTAGTCACAGGGAAACGACGCAAGTGAGGGACGCAAGGAATCCATTTAATCGAATAAGTGAAACGTCGACGAATCCCAACAGAGCCGTCCAGCTAACCAATCAGAGCAGACTGGGCTCTGGTTTCAGACAGAGGGTGAAAAGAGGTGCTGCAGCACAGGCAGTATGAGAACAATAAAGAACTTTTTGAACATTAAAGCATGGAGACATGTCCCAGTAGAGACACTACACACTGATATGAACCTGAGAATGAGCACAATAGGGCCCCTAAGTAAAAACCACAAAGGCAGCTGCCATCACAGGAGGCTTTTCTCACAACTTAACAAGTTGTCACTGATAGTAATTCTCACAACCAAAACTAATGAATACTTCCAGTCTCTGAAGTGCAGTGAATTTATTCAAAATTGCTTATTAGCTTTATTAAAAAGGTCACCCCGGTGCAAAACAGGCCGTGTGAAGAACAACAGACACCCTTGGGAAGATCTGCATAAACGTAACATCCCGATAACCAAATATATTTTGTCTCACAAGGTCACAGACGCTGGCAGCATCAGCACAGACAGACAGGACTGGGAAAGGACACTCATGATAGTAACACACAGAACCACTCCTGATGTTCCCAGATCAACGGCTTCAAAATAACGGATAACCTGAAAGGAGCTGCAAGCTGCAAAACAACAACGGCAACACAAACCACAGGCCTGCTGCTGCTACATGATCACACACATGCAGCGCTGCAGTAACACTACACCAGGCCGCACTGACTCAACACACCGAGATCAAACCAGGACCAGCCAGGCCGTGAAGATTAAAGGCAGGAACCCAGCAGGAGGTACACATCTGATCTGAGGGATTAAAGCGCGGGACTGAGGCTGCAGAACCACTCGTTTAAAGGACCAGAGAGTTGGAGGAAGACGGGCAGATTTGATCATCATCATCATCACCTTCAGACATTAAAAACTGAGCCTGATTTATTCCTACAGCACACCAACACTGCCTCAGTTCAACTTTTGATGCAAGCAGGGACTGTAACATGTCTGCAGCAACAGGCGTCGGAATTTCAAGTAGGGCTGCAGGCTTTGATTGTTTTGATTATTAACTGATCTGCAGATTATTTTGTAAATTACAAATATCAGAAAACAGTGAAAAAGTCCCGTTTGTGGATACGGGGTGAGTGTGAGGGCTGAGGGGTGTGTCAGGCCTGACTTTACTGTGATGTTTGGATTAAAGCCTTTCACTGCTGTGAGAAGGACCTCAGTCTGAGAGAAGGTAGAAGTGCAGTGGACTCCTGACAGCTGCTCCATGTGACAAACACCATCACACCAGTGTTCTGTAAAAATGCAATAATTCACTTTTGATTGCAGACGTTTGAGAGTCTGCAAAACCGTTAAGGGTGCAGGAATAAGTCCAAACATTTTGAAATGAGTTTGCATTTGATAATTTCCAGTTCCTTCGTCTCGAAGAATGTGTTTTTGTTTATTTCCCCAAAATAAGGCTGTTTTTCGTTCTGCGGCATAACATATGTCAGTGAATACCCTACCTGGGAATGTCTGAAGCTTTTAAAACCAATGGTTGCTAACACGTCACTAAATGAGACTACTAAACATCATCAAATATAAGCCTCCTTTACGTCACAGTTGCACAACTTCACCTCGCTAAGCTAGTTTGTTTTTAGCCTAACATTAGCTTTTTACTTCAATCGATTCCTTTTACTATTCATAAATTATAGAGCATTGTTAATATGTAAATATGACTATGCTGAACCGAACATGTAAGTATCATAAACATGTGTTTGCCACAGATCTTATTTTCTGCAATATTAAAAACCATTGCTTTTAGTGGAGTGAGCCCTTGCGATGCCAACTTCAAGGTCTGCTACAGAAAACATGTTCACTGCACCACTCTATAGTGAGGCGGGGAAAATACAACTGCCATCACTTGCAGGAATTTGATATATTCATCATTCATTTACCCATTTTTTTCTGGAGAAGGTAGGTAAGAACTTCACTACAAGCAACAGCCGATTTGTTTTGAGATGAGTAACATGTTTACCTTGAAAACTACCTGAAACAATAGATTATCAACATAATTGCTGATTGATTAATTTACTGTAATAGATGGTTTTAAAACCAACCAAACCGCAATCATAAAATCTCATCTCTGGCACGCAATCTCATTGTTGTCATAAATCAAATGTATTTTAAAAACAGACAATGTTCATATCCGTTTCTCAAAGTCCATCGTAATGGTTTCAAGTGTCTAGTTTTTTCACTTCAAACATAACAAAATTCACTTAAATAGAGAAAAGGAGGGAATCTCCATATTTGAGATTAAAACTGCAACTCCTGGCCTTTTTCCATAAACATAATACTTTAATGACCTCTGGTAGAGGAAGCCAAACCTTAATGGGGGTCACAAGGCTCTATGATTTCAAAGGGTGTAAAATAACTTTAAATAATGAGTTGGCCTAAACTTAAACAATATGCAAAACATTCTTCCAAAATGCTAATTTTACAAACTTCGTGCTGTTATTGCATTCACTGTTTTACTTCAATAAGTGTACAGTGTGCAGGTAATTTACTGCTATGGTTGTGTGTTGAATATGAACTATCCTAATGTCACTTAATGTGAGTCAGGGGGTGTCAGTCGGTTTATAGATTGAAAAAAATAGAGGTTCCCATTCAAAAATATTAGGAACCACTAATCGACTTATCGTTGCATCTCTTGATATTGTGGCGTATGGTATTGAAGTGTAGTGCTTGCTGAAGCATTGCATCGATAACATTATGCCACTCATTTGTAATAACCTGTGCAGAGACTACAGATGAACTCATCCCCCACTGTGGCACATTCTCAGGTAACATTGCAGCAGCAGGGTGTCAGTGATGTGTTTCTGAGGATATCACTGTTGTTGCTGCTTGTTTTGGCTGATGATGATGACTATCCAGAGGTCATAGTTTACCCTCCTCCTCCTCATTAATTGGCCAGCACATACAACAGTTTATTACACCGCAACATGTTAACATATGTGCAGAGACGGCAGCCATATTGCGCCAGTATTTACAAAACCCGCATCGGTGCAACAAAAAAAAAGAGGCGCAAGCGAACAAAGGGAGAGGGGAGGGAAAGCACGGGCGCTAAGCTAGGTGGTTTGCGGTAAAACAACAAACAGGACACACGGACCGTCAAAGGGCTCGTTTGGAGCGGCCTGAGGTCGCAGTTTCTTACCGGTACAGCAATCAGTGTCGCCGCATAATCCCGATCAACCGCCGTGGCTCCGAATTGATCCGCTGTGCCTCCGTTTGGTTTTCCGCCGCTGCGTCAAGCTAGCTGCGCTAATGAAGGCACTGCGGAAGTGAGGCGGCAGCGGCCTACAAAATAAAAGCGCGGGTTTTGCTGCAATGTAATTTACTCTACTTCGCCTTCTTGCATTAATTATTATTTACACTAAAATAATTGAAAACTGACATTGACCATTTCTGTTATGCTTGATAGACAATCGTTCATTGTATGGAACCTGCAAGGAATATATTTTGTATTAGGTTGATTAGCAATCCTCAGGTCAATATGAAAAACTATCCTCACTGACTCAAAGAATTGTCATCTTGATCATTGAGATGTTTCATCCCCCCAAATACTTTTATATGTAGGTAGGCTACTCTCGAATTGTTCGACACATGATTGTATAGTTATATTGTAGGATATCTAATGAGTCATATTTATGTAACTTTTGAGAGGTACGTTATTTATTCAGATAGCTTTCTACATTCTATATATAAATGTAACAATGTTCTGATTTAAGATATTCATTATGTGTAGCACTATTAATAGGAAATCGAAAGTTCAGTGTCTATTAATTGTATATTTTCAAGATAAAACAGCCACAAAGTGGCCTTTGGGGTCAGCCAAAGGCACTCTTCTGATAATCATGCTATTTGATCAACATCCTGATATACCAGGATGTTGCATATTTTTTAGTTAACATTGTAGTATTTTAACCTTTAATCAACTCAATCAAAGCAGAACAAAGAGGAGGAGCTCTTTTTTGCATATACTCCTAAAGACCCCGGCAGCACATCACCAGGACGGAGCTGCCATCCATGGAGGACCTCTACTCCCAGCGTCTCAGGAAGAAAACCCACAAGATTATCAAAGACCCCGACCACCCCAGCAACTGTTCTGTCTGCTGCCGTCTGGCAGGCGGTACCGCAGCATCAGGACAAAAACCACCAGACTCAGAGACAGTTTCATTCCGCAGGCCATAAGACTATTAACCTCTTAAGCCCCAAGCCTGTTTTTCAGGTTTCAGGCTAGAAAATGACATGCCCAAAACAAAGGACTATAACTTAACTTCTAAAAGGGTTATATGAATAATTTCTTTTATCAAAGCAAGGTCACATCTGTGTGTTGGATGTAGAAGTATCAGAATCAATAAAGATGTTTCAGTGTCAGAGTAAATTCAGATGGAACATAGTCAAAAAGTGTACATTTTTGTCTCCGCCCAAATAAAACCCATTACTTATAGTGAAAACCACCCTTGAATGATGGGTTAGTAGCCTAAAAGCTTTAGGAATCCAAAGTATAACATATAATAAGTACCCTGTATCAAGATTGAGGCAAAACAAGTGAGAATTGACCTTTTTAGAGAGATTAAGAAAAAAAAAATCCAAGCGGACTAAGCTTTGGGCACATTTGGTTCCATCAGTGCCATTTAACCTTTTTCAGGTACCAGACTGTAAAAATCATTGTATAACATTTAATTATCACTATATGTATTCATTCCATAAAAATAAAAAAATTAAGTGGGTGTGTGGGAAGTTCCCTCTTTGCATGAGATGCATGTTACTTGCACAATAAAAATGAGGAAATTTAGGAAACATTTGACTCCAACTGGAGCAGATTTATTAAAAAAAATATATACAACAATACACTATACAACAAGCATTTTTTGGGTAAAAAAAACAAACTTTATACAAACCCTGAATGTTACAGTATTACTCCAGTAAGTCATGCCATGCCCTGTAACAGTTATTTTTGGTAGTGAAGCACAGAGGGACCTGACACTTCCTGCAGTACACAGGTGTCTTCACCCTTCTGTTGCCAGCATCAGAGCACCTCCTGCAGTACCTCCTGACCTTGGTGGCATCTTCCCCATAATACTCGGGCATCCAGAAGCCATATCCTCATCGCCTTCCTCACTGTGAAAACAAATGTGGAAAAAACAAATAGATTAATTCTCTGGCTTGTACTTTCAAAAATGTAACTCAAATCAGAAATAATTTCTCTACAACAACAGCAGAACATCAATTTTGAGTGTGTGAAATAACATTATATCACTCAAAATGTATACCGTTTAAATTATGTGAGACGGGGTTCATATAATCTTTTCAATATTCAATAATATTCCGTCTGTCATATATTTATACATGTATATTGTGTATATATATATATATATATATATATATATATATATATATATATAATATAAGTAATAATTGTAAGTCGCTTTGGATAAAAGCGTCAGCTAAATGTAATGTAATACTGTGTTAAATTCAACATGTATATGTCTTGTTTATTTCAACAACAAGAAACGGCATCCATCTTCTTTGTTGTTGTTGAGTGTGTGAAAGAACATTATATCACAAGATGGATGCCGTCGTGTTATTGTCACGTGTGTGAAATTACTATAGATGAATACACTCTTACACCAAATAAATAACAAAAAGATAAAAACAGATGAATACTCTTGCACCAAATAAATAAGTAATAGATACAAACAGAGCGATTACATGCCTTTCCGGTGACGGAGGTTCATAATCAGTCATTACTGTCCCCTTTATGTGTGACGAGATCACTATCTTCCGACGGAGAGTCCTGAAATACGATGTCCAATGCCTCCTCGACGGACAAAACAGTCTTCTTTCTTGCTGCCATTGTTACAATGAAGACAAAGAAAATAAATCCTGCTGTTTCGCTGATCGATCTGCCGTTCTCTGCTCTCCTGTCGCCGCGGGACATGCTATGCTATGCTATGCTGCGTAAAAAGAGTGGGCTGTGCGTAAACCAGCTATACTGCCTTTACTTATACTTACGCAAGATCCTATCTCTGGAACCCATTGGTCGATTGACACAAAATACGTAAATACGTTACGCCTGTGGAGGGGGAGCTATGCGTAAACTGCATCTCCCGCAGCTGAAGCCGCGGACTGTTAATCGTTGGACCTACTCTTCTGCCGTGAATTCTTTCACACACACATACAGGTTTTGGGCCGAGGGCGACACCGTACTTCCGGTATCAACCATTTCACGCGAGGTGCATACAGAATATCATAGTCGATTGCCTTAATCAATATAGTCAACTCTAAAATACCACATATATGCATTGGCATGATAATATTATTGTGACAAGTGGGGTATTCACCTGGTGTTTCCAGAAGATAGACGTAGATGCAGCCAAAATCGACCGAAGGCCACTTTTGAGGGTCGTAATTCCATACATTGTACATCCAACAACCCACACAGCTCTAGTTTACGCTGGTAACGACCTAGAGCACCCCCCTCAAGTCCAGAGATGTAATCCGAAGACATGCAGCGATTTCTTCGGTCGTTAATTCAGAAAAAAAACCTAGTGCGCTCTGCCTGGCTACATAAGCTAGCTGTTTATATTAGCATTGCCAGGATTTTTGCACCTCCAGAAAAATGGCGTCTTTATAAAAAAATATATGGCGCACGTTGCATTGTGGGTAGCTGTGACGTCACTGTGTGTGAAAGAATGAAAGGATTGATTATCAGTAATCATTTTAAAGTGACAAGAGACATTGGATTAACCTTGAGCAGCGTTTGTATTCCTTTGAACACAACTTTTGATCACAAAACAGCCAAGGTAAGACCTAATTATTGTCATGGATTTGAAAACTGATATTGTTTACTTGCTATGTTCTGGCTGCTAGCTCGGTTAATGTTGTGCCTGTAGTGATGGGGTGTATACCCATGGAATCTGTGGAATCTCAGCTTTCAGAAAATGTGTTGTTTGTGCAGAAAGTATGAATTATAAATGATCGTTTTTGTGAGTTATGAGCAGAAATAGCAATTGCCCGTTTTTGCCATGGGCTCATTTAGAGGCTTCTTGTGAGACTTATTTTTCGAAAAACTTTTTTTTTGTCTTCGTATCGTCAGTTAGCCAAGTTTCCTCCGGTCAGATGGGTATGGAATATTAATAGTTTCATGAATGACACTTCAGATATAGCACTGTTGCTACATAGCATTTTCGGACCCGAGCTCGGGTCCGTGGGGCTTAAGAGGTTAAACATCTGAACTCTGAAGTGCATCCATAAACATTCATCTGTTTGCATCTTGCTAATTATGTATCTATATCATTCCATTTACTTGTACTCTTCTTGCACTATTTATTTTTTATTTACATTTTTGCACATCTCAAAACATTCTCTTGCACTATTTTATCTGTTTTATGTATGTCCTCTATATATTCATGTTGCACGGTTGGAGGAGCCTGTGACTTCAGTTTTTCATTGCCATAATACACTTTAGCTAATGTGCACAGGACAATAAAGCCTTGAATCTTTTAAACAGTACAGTGTTAACACAAAGCACTCCAGTTTTGCTTTGACAATGTATTTAGGCTGTGTATTGCTCTGGGACACTCAAAAAACAAGTTAGTCTGCTTGTAATGCTTGCAAGACTAGTGGACGAGAAGCAGTGGTGTAAAGTAACTAAGTAGATTTACTTAAGTACAATTTTTGAAGTAATTGTACTTTACTTGAGTATTTCAATGTTACTTCTACCTCAATACAATTCAGAGGTAAATCTGGTACTTTTACTCCACTCCACTAAACTTTAGTTACTTTACAGATGTGGATGAATGATGTGAAATATAATCAAGTGTTGAATCAGACTTTAGTTCCACCTGGAGTAAATCCACAAGCTACCCTGCAGTATACAAAGTCATTCAAACTAGCTGCAACTTTACCAGCTTTGAGAACACTTTCATGATCAATCATCATAAAACATATCATATATATTACTCTGAAATGGACCAATCTGCACAATGACTACTTTCACTTTTGGTACTTTAAGTATATTTTGATGCTGCTATTACTTTTGTACTTTTACTTGAGTAACATTTTGAAAGCAGAACTTTTACTTGTAACTGAGTATTCTTACTCTGGTTACAAGATCTGAGTACTTTTCCCACCTCTGACGAGAGGTTTGGTCAGCGGAAGAAACTGCTACAATTCGCAGATATGGAACAAGGATCACATAAGTGGAAGATAGATTTTTTTTTAAATTGCAGTTCACATGACAGTGAGCAGCTTCACTGCAGTGAATCAAATTAGGCCCGATTGTAATGTGACATGCTAATTGTCACCTATGTACTATGAAATGAGCAAATCTGTAAAATGATGTTACCATAAAACTGTCGTTGCACACTACATTGACCCTAATGCATAATACAAATCACAGAATAGGGGTCATTTATATATGAAACGGTTTATTCCACTTCTAACTTCACAACTCAATGCCAAAATAGAACGAAAATGATGAATGAAAGCTCAGATTGTGTAAACAGGTGAAATAATTGACTGATATCATTGTTTGGCCAATGCACTGTTCTGCAGTTGAGTTAAAAAAGCACCAAAGAAATGTGGTAAAGAAATTCAAATATTAATTATGAATTTTTCAAGTTGAACATTTTGGTCTGAAACGTGTTAGTTAACACTTTGTAAGTTTGGAAAATGTCTAGCATCTACCATCAAATGGTGAAAACAGAACGGTTGTGAGAGACAGAGGAGTTTGGCGGGAGTGGCAGCAGGCTCTCTCAGGGACCTCGACAGCTCCCATGGGGCTCAAAGAGATATTCTCCATGTCTCTCTCAGCACGGCGCTGGATCAATTCAGACCCTTTTAGGCTCAGGTAGGGGTTGTTGTGGCAGCTTTTCCAGGAGTGAGGAGTGTCTTTTCTCAAAGTCTCCATGTTTCAGGAGTTTTCTTGTTGCAGACTTGTTGTTATCAGAGCTGGAGGCGTCCTTCCAGGTGGCTCAGTGGTGAAGCAGTCCGGGAAACCAAAATCCCTTTGTGTCGCCCTGAGCAACCAGAGGCAGAAGAGGGCATGCAGCACAAGCAGGACGAGCAGAGGAGGAAGAGAGCCATCTGTGGGTTGCTTAAAGTTATTTTAGACACCTGTCCAGGGGTACGGTGTCACTGTTGTGAACCGCTGCCCACTCCCTTCTGTAAAACTGTTTGATTTCTCTTTCTTTTTTACTTTCATAGAATTACAGTCTATATCGCTTACTTCACATTTGTTATTCTCTTACATATTTGAAAGTAGGGCTCAGCTGCAGAACAGTAACGAACTTGATATAAACCACTGAACAAAACCTGAACCAAAAATGAATCAAACATTCATACAAAATAGATGATAATATCCTTATTATAACAAAAAGGTATTTATGTAGATATACATTGCAGCCGAACAAACCTCAGCATTAGTTTCATTCTTGATATAAAATCAACATGTCGAACCAAAACATTCCATTTATCAAACATGGAAGCTCAGCATTACAAATACTGTACATTTGATTTTCCAGAGAAAGTACGGTTTTCTTTGGGTCCTTTGTTGAGAACGTGGCCATAAACAGGGGGATGTGGTCATACATATCAGTTGCTACCAAAATATGAGTTGTATAGTTGAAGTTAGAAATATGAGCAACATAATCAAACATCCACCAATCTTTACAAATTCAACAATGCCATTGACTTTAAGATGAGTGAGAGCTAATGATAACACATTTCCAGGTTTTAAGCATGACTCCTGTAGCACTATAGAAGATCCCCAATGCCCTATAGTTAGTGCAACTAGTGTATCAAATCAAACGGGAATACAATTTATATTGAACTGTTTTATGTTGTCATTGGAGTAAAATCTCTAACCTTTGTAAAAGCTAACTAGCAGAAAGAGTGCTAGTAAGCTAGTTTGCGGATTTTGCTTTACCACTGGTTACATCAAATGAGCATAACAAGTTATTACTCATTTGGCTATAGTAAAGGCCAATTCATACTTTTCGTGTCTGCGTGTCTTTGAGGGTATGCTAAGGTCCTTGTGACCAAATAGGTGATTCGGCTTGTGCACTGGACCGTCCGATTGCAGCAAGAATGTGTGACTGAGCGTACAAACAGCTTATGCTCCTGTTTTGTTCCACACTCCAGTCTAGCTTGTTTGCTAAGAAGTGAACCAACGGAGTGATTGTATTAAAGAGAAGTTGTGTTAAGGCTGCAATCAACATGAACATAATTAGTCTTAAAAGGCATTCAAAGTGATCCAAATAGTGTTGAACTCAAAGCAATATGCAAAGCAAAACAAAGCAATATGCCTGAATGCCCTGCGGACGCAAACCCTCAATTGTACTACGAAGCGGAACCATGTGCACTTATGTGACTGCAGCAGATGCAGGAAGTATGTACCGGCTTTAATGTGTTTTCCTATGCTGTGTCAGTAGTGTGTGGTTGAAGCATTAAGCTGGTGAATTTCACTCATTAAAACTGTAAACAAAATATTTGTATAAGACCACATTTGAACTCACCATGATAATGTTATAACTGATCTTTGCCCAATTTTCATTTGACTGAATAGAGCATGAAATGACCATAGAACAACTCTATGGTGCCACACCCCACTTGCTGCAAACAGCTAAGGTTAACTAAGTCTTCTGCCAATTTCAACAAAGATTTGTTGTTCACGAGGTTTGTGAATTTCAATCTACAACAGGATGATGTTCGCCTAGAGCCCCAATTGTACTACCGGGAACTAATTTGTAACTGTACTGCAGTAAAGCAAGCATCATCACGTATTCAGAATTTTGGCGAATCTTTGTGGATCTTACTTACTCACTCTATAATTACACAACACCTTGGATATGGAGGACTTGGACTAAATCAGATACAGCTTATCATCAAACACATTCACAAATGGATGATGGAGAAGTAACATACATTTTGGAGATGTCAGAACAACTGTTATTCCAAAATGTTGCATAAGAGGTTGGGTCAGAATGTTGTGCAAACAGAATGATTCTAACAATGAGTCTTGAATGTCTAAAGATGTAAAGCAATTTCTATTTCCACGTCATAAATTCTATAATGGAGCTGTGTTACATTTTGCAGCAAATGTCTGCATATAACGAATAAAATATGCGCAGACAGCAGAGTAGCGTCAACAAAATGATTTGCTTGGCAGAACAGTAAAGCCATACATATTTTGTTCTGGTTGAAAGTTCAATCTTCGATCTGGTCAGTCTGTGGTGGAATCAAAGTCATTTTTGCACTCAAGTTATCCCTTTACTTAGTTGTTCCTAAGCATGAGATCACCAACTACTTTTTTGCACCACCATGTTAAAGTCTTCTGCACCTTGTGGAATGGATCCTGTCTAGGTATGCATACCACAAGGTCCGATGTCCCGTCCTTACCTTCAACCTTAAGGACAGTTCTAGTTAGCACTTGATATGGCCCTCTTTATCGAATAAATAATGACACAGCAGCACAAAGAACACACAAACGCAAAAACAGTTTTGCCTCCATTTCAGGCTAGGAAGTAGAGCCAATGCAAAATCCTAAGCCTATACAAAGAGGTCGACCACATCATGCCTACTGTAGTTTTAGTTTGGAAACAATGTCAATACAACTGTACTCGCAGATTAGGCAGAGGTCGAATTTATGAAGTTTAAAAAAAAAGATTGACAGATTGACTTTTGCTGTTTTTAGTTCACAACCAACCTTTCCCTAAAGTTGGTTCAGTTTCAGCTAGTAGCAACCAGGCTAACAAGCAGGGCAAAGGCACAGGGAACATCCTTGGACACATCACATTTTGATTTAGTTAATTTCTCTGATCCTGGTTTTGTTTTGTTGCCGGGTTAAATGAATAGCTTTGTTTAAGGTATTTATTTATAGACGGTGTATTACATACAGTGGTTGGCAAGCCCATAGTTTGGAGACACAGAAACGAGTACCAGCAGGAAGCTAAGTGGTGTACTGCTATGGATGGAGAAAGGAGCCATTTTACATATTTCACAGCCTAAAAGAAAGGCCTACCAAAAAGATATATCAATGTAAGTTGTTTCCTGGTACCTTGCTTTTAGGATCGCTTTTAGGCTTGCTTTTAGGCTTGCTTTGAGGATCGCTTTTAGGCTTGCTTTTGGGCTTGCTTCGAGGTTCGCTTTGAAGATCACTTTGAGGATTGCCTTTAGGCTTGCTTTTAGGCTTACTTTTGGGATTGCATTTGGAATTGTTTTTAGCCATTACCAACGCCTCTTCTTTCATTTGTCCAAGTTTCTGGTTTAGCTCTTGGATCACGGCAGAACAAGAAGAAATCCTCGTATTTAATCGTCTGCTCTTCTGTTTTTCAACTTTCAGACGTTTGCGGCTGATGACCAATTTCCTTCCCATGTTATGAACTTTCATTTGTAATTTTCGAATTGTTATTTGTGCATCTGGAGATTTAGCAGTTTCCGAAAGGATATTCCCAAATGGCGTTTGTTCTTCTACTGTCACGTTTGGAAGAGGGGCTGTGGATCCATGACCATCTGATACTTCTGTGACACTAACACTGTTCTGATTTGTGGTCACAGTGGTGCTGCAGTTCATTGGTTCCACAACATTGGTTACGTCTGTAGATGGTGCGACTTCGCCAGGGGGGGTAGGACTACTCACAGGCTTGCAGCAGTACGGGTGATCAAAGTTGACAGTGTCAGTTATCTCTGTGTGCATACTTACTGCTTGTGTTTTGGATGATGTGTGACTAACTGCAGGTTTCTTGAATGATGTATTGACACCGGGGTAGGCAAAAATAGTTGGCACAGCATTTGAGTTCAGCAGGCTTCTCCCACAGGAAGGGTGAAAACATTCCTCGGTGAAGTGTAGAGCGCATAAGCGTGAGTCTGGGGACGGCATCCAATTCTTGCGGTTTATGTTGTGGACCCAGCTAAGCATCCTTGCCTTATCATGGTGAGGAAATCTGTGAAATAATTGTGTAATTGGTTAAGTTGTGTGAATATCCCAATGTATTGTTTAACTTCAGTTTCTGGTTACACTGAAAAAACTGAAATGTTGACTTTAATTCAATATATTATGTCAACATATTTCACATAACTGTATTAGGTTAGTTAAAAGCAATAATATTAAGTTGAACCCTATATTTGTTATTTAAAACAAATGTTATTGCTTTCAAATAACCTAATACAGTTATGGGAAATCCATTGTCCAAATATTAATTAAAGTCAATGGTTCAGTTTTTTCAGTGGAACGATAATGTGTCATATCATTACCCCAACTTGTCAAATATGGCATCTTGTACAGCGAGTCAAAGTATGACAGTAGTTCTATTGCGTCAGATTTGGGCGTAAAGGGCTGCCAACATAATCACATCTAATAGATACACTTTCGCGCAGGACACTATACTTTACTTATTTTCAGTAACACAACGTACTTTCAGACCAGTGCCCTGTACTATGAAGCCAGTTCAACAGACCCTGGATATGTTTGAGTTATCTGGCTTCACTAACCCTAACAAACGAGATCTCGCTAAGTGGTCCTACGACGCTGGTTATCAACTCGGTAAGTCAACCCAGGGTTTCTCTCTCCAGCTAAGAGCATGTTCACGTGAAAGGGGCGTGGTTAGCAACATTTGACCAATCACAAACAGGGACAAGCGTACTGACAGCGCAGCGTCATACTTCATTAATGAAAAGTAAACTATCATGTTAGACAAATGTGAAAAAGTTCAACTTTAAACATCCATGACTTAAACAGATAATCCAGGATAAAAGCCACATAGTTGCACCTGCTGCAAGGAGAATACAGAACAGCTGGTAAAGAAAAGTTACAAAAGAGTGTTTGAATGCGTACATTAACAGATTTATGATATCACTGCCCCCATCTAAGACACTAGTGGATCTGACTCTAATTACATTTGACTCAAGTGTTTCGTCAACTTAATGTGTTGCTTAAAATAAAACTTCGGCATACAGTAAGTAATAATGTAAGTGTTGCACGGCCAGATAAGGCTCGAGAAGCAGACACAGATAAGGAAATATATTATATATTATGATGTGATGTGAATGTTAAGTGCGACACGTCGGCGTCTTTCCTGCATACGACAGTTTAAACTGTATTTCCTTTATCCTGTAATATGACTTGATAGCTTTAAACTCCGCACACAGAGCTCTGATTGGTCAGCAGGCGGTGCTTTCACTGAGTTGATCTCTTATTTGGAACATAACCTGCTCCGGAGCAGGTTTGGTGTTCAGCATAAGTTACCATGGAGATCTACCCCGGTAAGAAGTAAACCAGCATCGTAGGACCGAAAACTCACAGTTAACCCTGAAGTTACCTCGCGAACCGTGCTTCGTGGTACAGGCCGCTGGTGTAACCAACCAATATTTTGGCCCTCCCAGACGAAATCAGCGTTATTATTGTCAATGTGTACTAGGCCATGGATGTATATTAAAAGAAAGTGTGGGCACGAACATACAGTATTTTAAATGTAAGCTGATGTGAAGAACTAACTTAGTGAATATTTGTGGTCAACCCATGAGCGACACAGGCAGAAGAGGAGATATGACAGAGCATAAATATTTTACATCGCAATTCACATTTCATCTTTTTTTTTTAAACATGCGTGTTTGAGGTAATGTTACATATTTAAATGTGTCTATGACTCAGACATGTTCTATGCATGTAAACGACTAGACTGAATGGATAAAAAAGATTCAAAATAGAGCCCCCTACAGAGGTCCGGGTAGCCTCCATGTTTATGTTGTTTCTAATATATATCGCTTTTCTCTGCCGAAACCAGGACAGCATATTGGCAATACCCCAGAAAATTGTGAATAAACTTGAACTATGTTGTTTTCACATTAGTGAAATTCCAGACGCACATGATGTTCAGTTTGGGAAAAGTGCTTTTAATGAATTAGCAAGATCCATAAACTGATGTGTCTGCGTCATTTCTTTTACGTTGGGCTCGCCGGCACAAATAAAATGCTCACCCATGGATTTAAGTGTGCCACAGGGTCTGTCTGTTGGACTAGTATAATGATAATGTGTTATTAGTTATTATACACAAAAAACAACACAATTTGGTTTTAGTATTTCAACGTTTTTTCTTTCAACCTTCTCCTTTCTTAAAAGAAGCGGACGCATTTGAATAGTAAGGTTAATGAAATAAAACTGTTTTAAAAGAGTTTCCTTAATGATCCATAACACACATGTATGTGATCCTATGACCATGTGATGTTTACATGCTGCAGTGACCAAACAATTTCCCAAATCAGGATAAATAATGTAACTATATTCTAATCTAATAACACATCACTAAATGTAAAATATTAATAGTTGTAGCTAATATTTTATTCAGCTTTCTAGCATTAGCCTACATACATATTGTGCAAATCTATAAATGAACACATATTTGAACATACCGGAAAAGAGAAACCGTAGCTCCTTTCTCAGCGGTTCGCTTCTTGCAGTTGAAGGCAACACAAGAGGGCATTTTCAACTGTTGTGTACTTCTTGCTGTAAAGACAAAGAGGTGCACAGATGACTTTAAAATGCACTATGTCTACCATGCTTTTAATATCACAAATACAATAAAAACAAGTCAACTTATGCATCACCCACTAAATTGTAAATCATTCAAGAATTCCTTTATTGTCATTGAAATATGAAGCTAATATTTTATATCGGAGAGGCTGATCGAATAGATCGGTCTTAAAATAAACTTTAATGTACCAGACAATCCAGAAATGTCTTGTTAATTATTGATGCATTTATGAATAAACTGTGGATTAAAATTCCGTAAGTGACAAAAACTTGATTCAACTATTTTTATTGAACAAATGGAAGGAACTGATGAAATCACAATTCACTGTGGTTGTACCTTAATTTGTAGGCCTACAGGCAACTAACAAAACGTGATGAATTGATTGCGAAATAATCACATAGTAATACAGACTTAAGTTTTGGTGGTGAAAATTAGGAATTCATTATATCCTCCAATACTTCATGCATCAAATTATCATGAAGCATAAATTAGGTAGGGATTCCTTAAAGGCCATATATAATAAACTGTCTAATGTCATTTGGACATCTTATTTGGTGTATACGTTTAACATGTGTAGCTTTAAACATGAGCGTTTGGAATGTAAACAAAAGGACAGCACAACATTGGGAAAAACTGATATTGCAATAAAAAGAATTGTGATGGCCTAAATGAGATATGGAATATGAGGTGATTTTGTAGGAGAGTGCATTATCATTACAAAGAAGCTTAAAGTTACTGTCGCTTTAGAGACATTCATTCATGTGAATCAAAGTTCCAGTTTAATGCTAAGTAAGTGTTAACATCTTTAATACGGTTATATGTTCGGATTAGTAAGGCACTGTTTCACAGCAAAAGCAATGAAAAAGTAAAACGTACAATTGGCCAACTAACTTGTTGGTATTATTACAGGTCCAGAGTAGTCTACTCTACAGCATGAAGAGCAGTGATTATCTGCGTTCAATGCACACAGGCTGGACAGCTATAACATGTTGACAAAGCATAACATAACTGAAATATGAATCAATACAGTTATGAATGCTAACATTACCTATGTCCACAGATGTATGAAGAGTACTCGAAGCAGGGTTTGGAGGCGTGCTCCGTTCAATTTTACGAAAGTTGTTGAATGGCGCATGAAGCCAAAATGGCTCGACAGCTAGGGAGGATGTGGAAAAGAAACCGGAACATCCGGTGATCTTCCGCACATGTGGGCCAAGCCCCCAAGAAGTGCGCCGGACTCTGAGGAAAATATTCGTTGTGTCCAAACGGCGGTACTGCAACTTCCGTATCAGTCCGTAATGTCCCTGGGCCCAGAAAGACTTTTCCCCATTGACTAACATTGGGAAAGAGTGGTCTGTAAATCGTTGGATGAAAAAAAAAAGTTGGGCCATTTTGTCCTCATGCGCCAATGAGCAGCTCTCATAGGAAAGAACGAGACCCCGCCTCCCACGCTGTATCCAGTTCTTATTATACATCCATGGTGTGGGCCCACAAAGCATGCGCACTAGCATCCACCTCCCTCGGCCTGGCTCTGCTCAACTTTTAGGACCTAATTATTTGAAAAAGTAATAGTGTTCGTAATGAGGGTTGAATTTACTTCATTAAAAAATATTCGCTGACATTCCTTTTTTTATAAAATAGTTATGTGTTTTTATATATCCCAATGTAAGTTTGCCAAGCCCCCAGGAAGAGCGCCAGACTCCAAAGCCCATTTTCGTAGTGGTCAAACCGTGGAATTACAACAACTTCTGTTTCAGTCCCTTGAGGAAATGTTTCCATTGAGTTACATTCGGAAATAACTTATTCCGTTTTGTTACATGATTGCATTGCTACTGTACGATACTGTTATACTTACTAAAATGTCATTTCATGTGTATTAATTTTTCAAATCGAAATACTGTTGCAAAAACATTAGATGTTCTTGGTTAATAGGCTAATAGCATACATGACATGAAGCTGGTGTGAATACTCACCTTATCTCGTGGGTCAACAGACAATGTATCGCAAAACGGCTGTCAACTCTATTCACCCTTAGGGTCGAGTTAGTTCACATCAGGATGAATATTATTCGTCATTAAGTGATATAAAGTGTTTTGTTCTTGTGTGTTAAATCCAAATTCAATGTTTATGAGAAGATGCAGAGAGAAGTTTTTTTTCAAGTGTCACGCTTTTATTTAAACAATTCTAACCGGACGTGTTACTTATTATGCTGGGTGCCTTCACCTGGGTTGTTTTGCAGGTTTGAGAGGAGTCCCGCCTTTCTCCCCCTTGCTAAATAGTGATCAAGCGGAATTTTGAATGGGTTGGTCCGCTGCCATGTCTTCCTGCCAAATACTGATATTCTCCCTTGACCTGTTTTTATTTATCTCACAGAGTGAGTCCTAACATCAGGATAATGCCACAATAATCTTTTGCTTTTAGTGTGTTATGATATTAAAATTAACGATGCTGTCCGCTTCATATGTGGAAACAATGATTAAAATCCCATCTGCATTGTAGTGTGGACGATGGCCCAGTAGGAGGTGCTCTCTGTCTGCTCTAGAACTGATCTATGAACAGCTCGCGTTTTACGGTCATTCATTGGTTGAAGCCGGGGAAATATAGTGTTCGTTTTAATACCAGAGACGGCCCCAAAGGGCGGTGTTTTGCATTTAACTGTAACCGACGACAAGGAGTTGACTGCACCGCTCAGCCGGGGCACCCTGGTGTAAAAAAACTCGGCGACATTAGGGTCAGTTATAATCAGAGCAGAGGAATTTTGGTAAAAGCAAGACGCAGAGCCTTCACGGTTTACCGCTTGCGTTTACCGGTTACAGACTTTAAAGTCCATGATAGCGCATACACGTAGTTGTAATTCACACAGCAGCGGGACACCCTGGAAGAGACGGAGAAACCACAGGAGGATGCCGAGCAACAAGGACTCGATGTAAACATTATTACGGCAAGATGTGAGATGAACCGGGAGAAAACGGCAACCGAGGCCAACGACAACATGTTGGTCCGGGCATCGGTAAGTGCTCTAGCTCGGTCGGTTTAAACTGCTGCTGGGCAACACCTACCTTTAACGTTAATCAAAACTAAGCTAACCAGTTAGCTGTAACAGAAAACAATAGTCATTTGTTTGGGAGTTGTTGGCTAGCTAATGAGCCAAGGTTAGCTTTGTAGCAGAAGCTTAGCTAGCTAGAATGTGTGGTGCCGTTAATGTGTTCGTGAAACCTATTTCACTGGGTATTATAGCCAGCTAACTCCTGTTTGCGTCAGGTAAACCATAACAACTAATAGCGCTGTTTCACGGATCCAAACGTTAGCTGTCACTCCAGAGAAAGGAAGATCAAATGCCAGGTGAAGCTTGTTTGTTCACACCTGAGGACATTTCGTTCAGCAGTCAGCTTTAGATGCTGCTGTGATTGTTGACAAATATAAACATCCATGATCCATGAGTGTGCAATAGTAGTTTATAGATATTCATTTCGGTCCTTTTTTAGTAATAATTTCACCCAAAAATATATACATTAAAAAAACATAATGTACGTTTCCAACGTACAATATGTACCTAACTTATGTCACAACAATACTTTTTAAGAGCAAACTAAAGACCCACCTTTTTAATTAGAATTTCTACTGAATTATATTTTATTCTTATTTTACTCTAATTGTATTCTTTTTTAATCCCTTATTTTTATTATTATTATTATTATTATTATTATTATTTGATTCCTGGTTTATGCAGTCCTGCGTGGGAATTACGTTTACTTTGTAATCACAAAGCTATGTGTTGCTCAAGTTATACCTTTGAAGAATGACATAGTATTGTTTTTATTTATTTTGATGTGTTTGGTTTGTAAAGCACTTTGAATGAACTTTGTGTATGATAGTGCTATACAGATACAGTTTGATTTGATATACCAGACAAGCCAGATGCATCTTCCCCTCATCACATGGGGCCTTGTGCCTTTGCATTACCAGTCTCTCTTTATCAAAACCCAAAGCTGTCCATCTCTGTCAGGTGTATGAACAACACACCTGAGAATACTCTATATTCTCAGTAGGCCTTGCTCCTTTTGACGGGAGGTGTAACTAAAAGCCCTATGGAGCTTTGTTCCTCTGTTACCCCTGTTATATACTTTTGGTTTTGTACCAACAAACTCAAATAAAACAAGCAGTTGACTTAAAAGGTGTAGGCTTGTTATACTTCCTCTTTACTTGTCATATTTATATCCACTTCCAACTTTTGGCTACACAAATTCAAACTGTAAACAAAGTGTTTTTTACAGAGTAATATATATTCATAGCACAAATGTATATCAGCTCCTTCTAATTTCCAACAACCTCTGAATAGTGCAGTTAACATGAACTATATCACAAGTTTGTAAAGAATCCAGGTAAATAAATAGGGCCTCAGTTGGTTGGCAGTAGTCCAATTGATTTAGAGATCTTCCAGCACTCTACTGTAGCATGAACATTGGATTGGTCTTGGTATGTGTTTCCAATTGGCTCTTTGTATATATAAAGGTGTTCCCCCATACTTTCACAAAGTATATCATATATGAAACTAAGAGAGAGCTGCACAATTTAAACATATATCCTTATGGTGATTTGTTTTGCAGTACATTTTGATGTAATGTAGTCCTTTTTATGTAGTCTTCATCTACAGAATGGACGTTCCACTGTATTGTACAAGCTCATAACGTTATATGAGACACTGGCTGTCATGGAACGCATCATGGACATGACAGTAACTATGACTACATATAGGCCTCTCATTCACCCGGCTAATACAACTCTTTAACTGGACTATTTCTCCTTAAGTGCAAAACGCATTCAGCTTCACATCCAAATAATCTAGAGCTGCAAATAATGACGTTGTCTATCACCTTTCTGAGCAATTCCCAGAAGTCCGATTTTTTTTTTGCACCACTTTTTATTGTGGATTTAGTTTCCTCTAGCTTTTGAATTCCTTCTATAAATGTCTTAAGCAGTATGAAAACAGCGATGGAAAGTTTTGTCTGCATCACCAACATAAGAAGAAACATTAGAGCGGTTATTACACACGGCATCTATTGCACGTCTGTCCGTCCTGGGAGAGGGATCCCTCCTCTGTTGCTCTCCCTGAGGTTTCTCCCATTTTTCCCTTTAAACTGTGGGTTTTCTCCGGAAGTCTTTCCTTGTACGATGTGAGGGTCTAAGGACAGAGGGTCTAAGGACAGAGGGTGTCGTATTGTCATACTGATATTCTGTACAAACTGTGAAGTTCATGCATCATGCAACCATGCATCATGTTGGAGTAAACTGCTGGTAAAAGATATTAGATCAGATTGGACAGGAAGTGAGGTTGCTTCCCACAGATGAATAGTTAATGTTTCTGCCTCTCCTCTCGCCGCAGCAAGGCCGAGGCCGGGCCAAAGTGACTCATGCGGTGGTGGTGATCTTCCTGGAGTTCTTCGCCTGGGGGCTGCTGACCACACCCATGCTGACCGTGAGTAAACGCATTGCAAACAACAACAAACCACAACAAAACTTCAGCATCCAGTTTCATTGTTAGTCCAGTGAGCTGGATGTTTGCCAGACGAGCTTACGGCTTGGCATGCTAACTTTTTTTAATAGTTTTGAATTGGACTGATAGCCAACCTGACACAAATTAAAGTGTAATACTTTTTAAATCGCCTATGACTCATTCAAACAAACTACCAACGCAGCAGTTAAGCTTGTCTACTGGTTTTGGTTCAGAAATACGACAATTCTGTCTCCTAGCACTTTCATGACTTTTGCTAGTAAAAATAATACTTTATAAATGGCCCTGTTGGGCATGAACATGTCAAAGTGATATATGAATCTGTTTTGAGTTTGTCACCCACAGCTGCTCTGTTTTACACAAGCATTGTGCGCTAGCATGGCTAAAATCAAATTCTTAAATTGGCAACAACATCTTTGCTTCAGCTCCTCATTATGTAGTACATGTTGATAGCACAATGTAATGGCTGTAGAGTAATGACACCAGCTACCGAGTTCCCATAAGCCTGGCTTTACAATGAGATTCTGTCCAATCCAGGTCCAAATCTCAAAGTAAAAGGCCTAGACATATAAAATGCCTCTTAGCCAACCAGAGAGCACTTGGCTAAGAGTCAAAGGTGGTAGCCATGTTGATGATGATATATATGAGTAGATTGATCTTATTGTTCATATGAAAATCTGACATGTTACCAATGTGACTGTTCAGTTATTGTGGAAGCAAATGCTTTGTTTGTTGATAGCTCTAAAGAAAATTCAGTGTCCAGTTGTCTTTCGGACAAAGCACCAACTTCAAAAGCGCTAGTGGAGGAAAAGTTGAAAAGCTGCTTGTTTCCGCTTCAACAAGCTTTAACAAAAGCTGTCTGTTTGTAATATAATTAGTGGGTGGGTAGGTCAAAAAGTGCACGTGCGTGTCAAAAGTTACAGACGGTTGATTTTCTAAATAGAAAGTGAAATGCTAAATAGTCTAGTAATTGCTGGATAGGATCCTTCATTGGTTGCTTTAGCTATTGGGTTTATGATTTCCAGAATCAGATATCACTATTTTTTTTTCAAAAGATATGAACAGGACATTGTGTTTCTGTTTCAGGTCCTCCGTGAGACGTTTCCTCAGCACACCTTCCTCATGAACGGCCTGGTTCACGGTGTGAAGGTAAGACCTCTCAGACACAATCACATTAACCTCTGGAGGATTGTAGAAGCAAATACTAACCGGAGATAGTGATCAGGAGTGGAGTGCGTAAGCTGGGCGTAACTCTACGTCCGACGTAGAACCGAAGGTTAAGACCAAACTAAAGTTATGACTAGTGCACCACTTAGACTTAAGCCCTGTATGCGTTGCGCCCGGGTGTAACTTTTACACCTAGTATAGAGCAGGCGTAAATCAGAAAGACAGACTAGTATCCATAGTAACGTAAAACAGGCAAGAAGGAAATTAACTGTGGCAGTGCGTCTTGTTTACATGTTGTAACAACGAAAGGGCATTAAGACGAGAGAGTCGTCCGTGATGGAACAAACCCACTGGACATCTATTCAGTGAGCTGATGGAGAGGTTTCGTTTCGGCAGACAAGCCCTTTTTGATTGAATGGAGGAGATCTCCCCTCAACCACAGAACGGATCAGACAGAAACGCTGCGCTCTCCCTAACCTTGCAGGTGCTGATTGCGCTCAGATTTTACTTTAATACTGTGGGAGACACGATTAATGTTCATCGCACAACTGCATGTCGGGCTATTAGACACGTTTCCTTGGCTCTCCAGCGCCGCCTTAGGAATTATATTCACTTCCAACACAAGAAGAAGCAGCAAAATCCTCCTGGCATCCGTGACGACTTAACCGCAATCACATAATAAACAACATAGCCCTGTATATTTGTAATATGAACGCAGTTTTTTTGCAATTGCATGTCAATAAGCTCCCATTGTGACCACATATTTTCATTAGGCCGTTTTATAGCCTATTTTATTCAAAACACACACAAGAACATTAGATAACAACATTTGGAGAACTATTAACATGAAATTGAGATAAAAACAAGTACAACAAATATGATTAGAGAATGGTGAATGACAAATTGTCTTCTTCAGTGATTCTTTGCTGATTCTTGAGAATTATAATTTTGAGTCTTAATTTCTCCTTCTCCAGCTCAATTTTGTCGTGTTCCGCTCTCAGTTGTGCGGTCTCCACCTCCACACAAACGATCTCTTTCTCCACCAGTTCACGCTGTAGCTCTGTAAAATCCCTCATTTTTCTCTTCTTTTGGTTTCCGTTATCCAAGACTTCGTTATCCAAGTCTTAGCTTGCTCTGAATGGAGGAGTTCGAGTGTTAAATTATGTAGACGTGTGTTGCTTGGCAACAATGACTGTTTCGCTTGTATTCACGTGGACGCGCATCTTAAGACCAGGCGCAGCTACGACCGAGACTAGTCAGGCTTGGTGCACTCGGTGTAAATTCGAATCACTAAGTCGGACGTAGCTAAGCCCGACGTTAGAGTTGAGACCTACTTTTTTACGCCCAGCTGGTGCACTCCACTCCAGTAATCTGTCTTCTATTTGTATGTAAACAACAAAATGGAACTTTGAAATAATAGAAACAGAGCTGCTAACACAGATATTGGCAGGGATACTTTTGTCTTCAGATTCTGATACCTCCACTCTGAACCTGACACTGATCTGATACCAGAGATCTTTTTGTCCAACATTTTAAAATCTGTAAACCTTAAGGTGTGGCTCCATTGTTGTGTGAGGGATGCAACGGTGCTAGAAACTGCAGCCATCTGTGCCTAAAGGAATGAAAGTGGAAGAAACCCAACCTCTTAAATATGTCAGTATCGTAATCAAGTAATGTTACGTCCCATCTGACATGTACTCTATCTCCCCCATTCCTTTCGTCTCTGCACTGTTGGCAATAGAGTGGAGCAGTGACTGTCTTTTTCTAGGCCGACCAGGAAGTTAGCATCCCATGGGCTCCCTCAACAATAGGCAATGGGATGTTTTCATTGGGTTTAGGCATACTGCAGAAAATAAGCTTTGTGGCCAACACGCATGATACTTTATACGTTTTCTCAGTGTGATCATTTCCAAATATTAACACCAGTAAATGCAATCGGCAGAAATAAAAAGCCAAAGCAATGCTTTTAACAAACAACCTCACCGTCCCACTAAAGACAGAGCTGTGTGGGCGTGATGACGTAATTTTTATGGCGCATTTCCACTACAGGGCCTCGCTCGGTATGGCTAGGCCTTGGTAGGACTGGCTCACTTTATGCTGCGTTTCCATTACAGTTTAGGAACTGGGGCAGTAACTATAGTAACGCAGTGTAGGCGGAGCCGTGACGTAATCTTCAATGAGCACCACAGAAAAACAACACAGCCGTTAGCTCTTAGCCCTCAGAGCTCACAGCTCCTCATATCTGTTCAGAAACTAGACAAAAGTTAAACAAGTACAAACCACAGACTGTCTGTGTCATGGCGAATACAGTCGCTGGTTTATTTATGTCTGTAGGCCGTTGTTGGAAGTGTGGACGGTCGGAGCATATATAACGTTAGCTTAGCCGATCTCCATTTAGAAAACAAGCATTCTAAAAGGAGTCTGCAGACTTGTCAAAGCATTAATTCATGGTTTTTACTAACCGGTATCAGTATGTTGTTACTTCGGCATCATGTTGAAACGTGTATTACAATTAAATCACGGTCAAATATGTTCATCTTGTTGTAGTTGTAGCCCCCTTGCCAGCGATTCTCTCTCTAGTTTAGCATACTCAGCCCGACTCAGCCTGGTTGTTGGCCCGGAAAGAACTTCGATTTTATGTGGCCAGAAAACTGTGAAATAGTACCCGCTAGCCGGAACTACGCCAAGTGGAAACGCAACCAAAAACGGGCCGGGCACGGCACGCTTAAAGCGAGCTCCGCGCTGTAGTGGAAATGCGCCATTAGCAAACTGGTTTTATGACACATGGAAGCTTCAGACATTCACCAGTAAGGTATTTACCCACCTATGTCATAAAACAAAAGGTACAAATCTCCTCTGCTTGAGTTAACCACATACCTTATTTAAGACTTCTACACATAAACACACTCAAAAAGACATCGACTGCGAGAGGAGGGAACCCGAAATGCTAACTCATTCCCATGTTTAAGGACTCATTCCTGCACAACGCTATAGTGACAACAGCACAAAAGATCCTAACTAGCATTTTCCTTAACACAATGTTCTCTACTGTGTTCCTGCAAAGGGCTTCCTGTCGTTCCTGTCGGCTCCTCTGATTGGTGCACTGTCGGACATCTGGGGCAGGAAGTCCTTCCTCCTCATGACAGTCTTCTTCACCTGTGCCCCCATCCCCTTCATGAGGATCAGCCCCTGGTAAGACAACCTTTGTCTGTTGGGTGATGGTTTCTGGATGACTGAAACCTGTTTGAGTTCATCCCCAGCTTTTTCAAGGGAACTGTTTATAGTTTTAATTGTTTTCTGTCCAAAGAAAGTCTCTGGATATTTTGTAGCAGCAGCCGGTGTGATGCAGTGGGGGAGGTTTAAGCAATATTTTGGGTCAAAGCTGTTTTTGTGCACATTATGTCCATGAAACAGAGTCCCAACTGGCATTGCTGGGTTCTGTGTTTGGATGTATTCCTGTCCCTCACTTAGAAAGAACCACAACAGAAGAGGAACAGCTGATTCTTGAATATGAAATGAGGAGTTATTTACATCAGCGTTATGTTAATAAAGGAAAACTAAGTTGAAAAAAGAATTGAATGTTGTTGTTAAATGTTTTTTATTGTGTGGATTCTAGTTCTGCATTGTTTGTTCTTGGATTAAAAAGTTGTGACCTTAATATAATGGTGATTTTGAATTAATGAAAGTAATGGTTGGTTAGTGCCCTGTTCTCAGTAGAGGCTGTTGGAGTTCGAACAGTCACATGCTGTTCATGTGAGCAGCTGAGGATCAGCATGTAGGCTGCAGAGCAGACAGCAAACATTCTCAGCTAGAAAGCACTCTTTAATCTGGTCTCACAGCCCCGCTTCAGTCTTCATGTGTTCTTCATGGAAAGTGCACAGTCACTGTATTCATCCATGAAACATGAGCAGAGGTGGAGTGAAGCATGGAGTGAAACAACATATAAAACACAGCATAAAAAAAACAAAACGACATCATTTATATATATTTATCTTTTTATCCTCAGACAATAAATCTGTTTTTGTTTCAGTTGACGGTGAAAAATGCTTCTGAAATCTCTTTGCTTTTACGCTAGTCTGTAGTACTGTAGTTGTACTGTGCTACAGCAGTAAAAGTGCAACTAATATCAAATCCCTTCATTAAACCGAGACTCTTAAGCTCGTTTTTTGTCTCGGTGTTTGATGCCATGAGGGCACCAGTTAAGTCATGATACCCAAATCAGTATCAGTAACTCCCTCTGGAGGGAACACAGGGATTTGACATGCACCAACACCTATAACACATTCAAGTAAAGGGACAACTCCAACAATAAGGATAAGAGGGCCCCTTTCAATTAGTGTTGCTCTTTGAATAGGTCGGAATGTGTGCCTTTGTGATATTCTGTGGCTTGCCCCGACTTTCTGCTATGTAAGCATAATAACGCTATATTATGGTTTGTCATCTGCTTTGTCCACAAGTCATAGACGGCTGTCTTTGCAGCTCTAAATGACAGTCTCTAAATAATACAGTGCTGTGCATCAATTGCTAAACAAAATGTGAGAAGAGAAAGAGAAAATAGTTTTTGATTATAGGGATACAAAAACACATCACTTTAAAATGTGTACAGCTTATTTGTACACCTAGCGACACGAATTGAAAACTGAGAATCTGGCTCTGCACCGGAACATTCTACTTTGAACTATCGGGTATTTAAGATGATTACAGACGCCTCGAAATCAGAGATGCATTAATAACAGAATTGAGACAATGCGAGTTGTCCTGCTTTGCAAAGTGTTGTAAATATACTGTATCTCTGTGTGTGCAGGTGGTATTTCGCTCTGATATCAGTCTCGGGGATCTTCGCAGTGACATTCTCAGTGATCTTCGCCTACGTAGCCGACATCACCGAGGAGCACGAGAGAAGCACGGCTTACGGACTGGTAACTACAGCTGCAGATTGAATCACTCTGACTGTGACAGGAAGTGGGTTTGACTTCACTAAACACGTCCACAGAGCAACAACAACCAAGGACACCAGCACGTCACTTCGTCACAGCTCTAGGATAAAGCTACCTCACAGCTCTAATACCTGTCTGAATGTTCTTTAAGCGTGTAGATGATGTAGGAGCAGTACTGCAGATTACTGTAATAGCTCATTGTGGGTACACAATGGAGGTCCTGCAGAGCGCTTTCATGGTGTTTCCTGCCATTATGGAGATCTGCAGAGAACCAGGTCACAGGAAGCACAAGATCAAATGTGCTCTCTCTTGAGTTGTCTTTGTTTATAGCATTGAGGTTTAGAGACCAATAGTGATCGAGCCAAGAGACTAAAGCAGTGCATTCTGGTCCCTCCCCCCTGCTGTGCTTGCTGTTTTATGATGCTGCTTAAAAAATGTGGTTCTAAAACGAGTAATGGTTTTTGACTGACAAAGTGGTTGACACACGAAGGTTCAGCAGTTTCTGTCTCTGCTCTTCGGTATACAGAGGTGTGGGTGTTTGTGGGGCACTGGCATCTAGACATTGTAAGGAGAGGATGGTAGTGATTGTGTAAGGTTTTGCAGCTGCGCTCATAAAATAAATATAGGGGACAGATCTAAAAGCTATTAGCCTTGCACTAAAAGGATCAATTTCTCCTCGTATTTACCAAAGACTGATATTAACAGCCGCAATGGAAGCTATCTTTGGGCTATGAGTGGTTGTTCCTCGTCACCTGACGTGCACGTTGCTGCGTTCTGAAGGCTGACTTACTTCTAACCACCGACTCAGCCTTTGCTCCCTGGTCAGTCCCTGAAGATAGGAGGTTTGGAACTCTTCCAGTGTGCAGAAAGAGAATAGTCCTACCTAGCCTCTGACATGTCTCATGAAAATGCATATTCCACTAATAATCCCATGAATGCCCCCAAGACGACTGCCGTTTTAAATAACTTACATTTCCCTTATTTTCCAACTGTAGTCATCATGTTCCCATGGTGTACCGCCACAGTTCTGAGTTTGCAAAACTTTCATAAAAAATGCTACATTTGAAATTGAGATTCTAAAAACTGAGCATGCTGTGTCCATGACCTTTTATTAAATTCTGAATATTGTCATCTCCTGAAAGAATTAGGTGTTGTGTATCGCACAATAATGCCGAATGATAGTTGGTGCATGGTCGTGTGGTTTCACTCACATTATGACGAAGGGATAAAATACACGTTTGAGCAGTATTTTATTCTAATGCATTTGTTTGATATTTTTAGACACAGTTAAAGACAGCAGCCCCAGTAACGTATAGTATGTTTTTCTCTCTCTGTGTCTCATCAGGTCTCTGCAACCTTCGCGGCCAGTTTAGTGACGAGCCCAGCCATCGGGGCCTACCTGTCGGCGCAGTACGGGGACAGCCTGGTGGTGCTGCTGGCCACGGTGATAGCTGTGCTGGACATCGCCTTTGTGTTCTTCGTGGTCCCCGAGTCGCTGCCAGACAAGATGAGGCTGACGTCCTGGGGCTTCCCCATCTCCTGGGAGCAGGCCGACCCGTTTGCTGTGAGTTTACAAAGACTGAAAACAACACACTGTGACAAAGGGGGGGTCAAAGGTCACATGTAGTGTGTTCTCACCAGCTGACCCCATGACAGATTACATTACATGTCACTTGTTAGACGCTTTTATCCAAAGCGACTTACATACTCAATACTGTGGGCGATCCCCACAGGAGCACTTTGGGGTGAAGTGTCTCAGGGACACAACGACATGCTGACTGCAGTGGGGTTTGAACCTGTGACCTCCTGATCCGAATACCAACTCACAACCCACTGCACCACACGCCTCCCCAGATCAGGCGGAGGCACAACATCAAAGCACGTTGTTCCTTGTTGACCAGTAGTCGTCAGTTCAAGCGATTCATTGACCTATTATTTATATTAATTTCTTAAACTTTAATGATAAATTGTATTTCTAAATGTTTTCAGTCCCCGAATGTTTTTTAAAATAAATCAATCGCTGGACTAAGACTTTTAGCAGACTAACGTTTGGTCGACTAACAGGGCATCCCTAATGTTTATAACAGTGTAAATGCTTGTTGATCTGTAGCAGCTTAATGGTAAAGCCTTAAACACTGCTTGGGTGAAGTATTGATGGGGTTCTTTGTGATTGATTGATTGACAGCTCTACTGATAAGTTGTAGTGAGCGCTGATTGTTTTCTGTGTGCAGTCCCTGCGTCGTGTGGGGAAAGACAGCACGGTGCTGCTGATCTGCGTCACAGTGTTCCTGTCCTACCTGCCCGAGGCTGGCCAGTACTCCAGCTTCTTCCTCTACCTGAAACAGGTCACACACACACACACACACACACACACACACACACACACACACACACACACACACACACACACACTTTGTTTGCATTGGTGGGATGATAAAGGACAACTTTTTGAACAATTTTAACCTGAAATGTAGTGCTCAACAATTTGAATTTGCGATTGATTTTACAATATATGAAGCCATTTTTAATAAATGTTTACATTATTATTATTCTTGTTTCATTGAAAGAGATATTAAAATACAAATATTGCATCTCCTGATTTGTATACCGCACCTGTCAAGGTTCAAGGTTCTTTATTGTCAAACTAACATAGCTACAGAGTAATTATGTCGTTGAAAATCTTAGGTGGCAGGCTTCTGCAACACATTAATACAGATAAGCAGACAATATGTCCATGTTACCAGTTCAATCAAATATAGATTTAGTGTTCATCCTGACCTCATAGCCATCCAGGACCCGGGCCGAGTGACAGTATTTGTTCATCAGAATAAATAATTCACTCACTGCTATGGGCCACAGGCTCAGCTAATAACCACCCTCAGATCAGCCAATCAAATTGATCTCAGCCAGAAAGTAGCAGGGACTCTAAGAACAATACATATTTGGATCAACTTACAGCTGTTAGTCATCTCTCTGCACTATGAACACGATTTCACCCAAAGATCTGCATTAGCATGGCACCAACTCCATTCCAGTCACCATTTCAAATGTTCTCAGTGCATTAACAGGCCCTCTTTTCAATAAAGGAAATTAGGAACAAAAATGTATAATGGGCTACACAGAGCTCAGTTTTGTCTTTTTCTATCAGAAGCACTTTTTTTTCAGGAGATCTTGCTTTTTTGTTGTTTTAAACAAATATATATTTATAGGCAACCAATGCCTTTTATAGTAGAGACAGAATTTAAATGGGGATGACACGTGGGTAAATGATCCCGGGCCAGATTCGTACCCTGGTCTTCCGCTTGGCAACCAAACCAGCCAACACATGGGCCCAAGATATTGTTTTCATTACATTACATTTAGCTGACGCTTTTATCCAAAGCGACTTACAATAAGTGCGTTCGACCAACAAAATACAAACTTGAAGAAAACAGAATAATAAAGTACATCAGGTTTCATAGAGCAAAAACATTTCAAGTGCTACTCAACTGGCTTTAGATAAGCCAGTCCTTTATTAGTATATAAGTGCTTTGTTAATAGTTTACTTGAAGCTATTTGTTTACCATCAAAGTTCCATGCTGAAAGTGTCCAACTTCTACTGTAAGTCATAGGGTCTGTATGATAAACAATGCATTTGTCAATAAACAATTTTTATTTTATTTGATTTAGCCTTTATTTATACAGGTGTAGATCTCATTGAGACACAAGGTCTCATTTTCAAGAGAGACCTGTCAGTGGTAACACTACCACACAAAGCCACAATAGCTGACTAAACCACTGATGGATGCAACAATGTAGGTCCAGTGTTTCAACGTTTACTTTAGTGGGTTTTTTTCTGTTGTTTTTAACTTTTACAAATAACACAATAGAACAATAAGTCATTACGTATGACCTATTAGTGAATAAACCCTCGTCTGTCACACCTACCCTTGAAAAAACATTTGAAATGTATATCTACCCCAAAGCCCGCCACCATGTATTAAGAATCCAAACTATTGTTCATCCTGTTTTATGTTTGATAATAATCACATTTCTTATATATTTTGTATTATGCTCGGTGTATTACACATTTACTTTTTATTTCAAAACTCTAACACAAATGAACTCTTTGACTGCATCTTTTGGTTTGCATTTCTTCATTTGTTCTAATATTTTGGCAAGCTTGCAAATTCCTCTATGTTCATACCCAGTTACTCTAATTTTAAACGACTTCTCGATGCAGTCTGGACGCATTTCATTTTTTACTTTATACATGATTCGTGCCGCAGTCCACCAAGTCTCTAAATTCCAAAGCCTGTGAATATCCTTGATGTTCCCCTCGATGAATACATTATATCCATGTGTGTTTATTCTAAACATGGTGGTGTTTCAATGAGGCTCCTTCACTGATGGAATGTTAATTATTGACTCGCTGTACGATGTGTTGCTCTCTGTTTCAGGTGATTGAGTTTTCTCCTGCAGCAATCGCTGCCTTCATCGCCATGGTGGGGATCCTCTCTATAGTCGCTCAGGTACACAAACCACCAGCTGATATCATCATGGAGGATTTGGTACAGAATCCGTCCTCACTGTCTGTCCAAAACTAAATGGACAAACTAGAAACAACCTTCCTCCTAAGAGGCACAGAAATGAAACTCTTTACACTGAGTTGGTTTAATGGATGTTGAGAACCAGTGATGGAAGAAGCGTTCAGATCTTTTCAGTACAAGAACTAATACCACACTTTGTAAATACTCTGATACAAAATGTTAAATGTAGTGAAGTAAAAAGTACTATATTTCCCTATCAATTATAGGAGAGTAAAATTATTTAGTGTCATGAAAATAAAATACTTACAAGTACCTCAAACGTGCACTTAAGTACTGTACTTGAGTAAATGTGCTTAGCTTTCCACCACGGTTCAGAAAAGATTAAAACACATTTTAATCCTCCACATTTTTTTATTACAGCAGCATGTAAATAAAGCATTACACATCGCCGGTCAAAAGTCCAATAAATATGACGCGCAAAAATATACATACCGACAGATGTTAGTTCTAGGGTTAAATATGGATACTTGTGTTTTTGTTCAATCACTGCTTCTATGTAAGATCTCATCAGCTTAATTGGAATGAATTTGACTTTTATGTAGACACCTGAACTCTCCTAATTCTCAACAGTGAACACAGGAAGTGATTTACACAGTAGCTATGTTGCTGTATCTGACCTAAGAAAACATGAATTTAATTATATTTAAGATGTTTTAACATACCAGAACATGTCCAAAACTGATTTACATAAATAATATTAAGATTGTTTGAGACTTCATTCATCACGTACCATAATCTCTCTCTCTCTGTTGTGTGTCAGACTCTCTTCCTTAGTGTTTTGATGAGGACCATTGGTAATAAGAACACAGTTCTCCTGGGTCTGGGCTTCCAGCTCTTCCAGCTGGCCTGGTACGGCTTCGGCTCCGAGCCATGGTGAGTACAGCCACTGTGAGAGTGCATTACCTCAGGTTACACGGCTTGGGTTAATACTAAGTGCTTGGTCAAGTTTGAACGTTGAACGTCTGCTCGTTTTAGCCAGCGAGCTCTAGGAGGTCGCTGTGAGCAAGCCACTTCGTGCAGTCCTAACAATCCACAAAAAGAAGTTTAGTCAATAAACGCCAGCTGTGGACAAAAGAAAAAATAAGTGTTTTCCTCCGTCAGAAAACACTGCTGAATACTATTTTAATATTTTTGATATTTGTAGAACATGGAAAAAAAGAAGCAAAAACAAGAGAAGGACAGAACGCTGGAGGACAGAGTAGAGAAGAACACAGGAAGTAAACACTAACAGGAACACAATATGGGCTCTGGCAGTGTTTAAAGACTGGTTAATGGAATAGATAAAGTGAACAGAGTTGGACAGTTACAGAAAACCTCGGTCAGTGCTCCCGTCATTTTAAGTTAACGTTTCTGTCGCTGCAGTTCCAGCCGAACAGACAATCTAAGCTGAAGCAATACCGTCATTTTTAAATCAATACTTAAATCAACATTGTGAGTTTGAGATTGTGATCCTGATCACCTTGTTGGTGTTCTTTTTTCATTAATGACAGGCTAGCTGGCTGCGCATTATACCTTGTGCAGTTTACACACACGCGGCTGCTACATGCATGCATGCCATACACACACACATGGCAGAGAGATCTTTGTACACAAAGTATATCTATGGACAAGTGAAACATTTATTCGGACAAGTAAATTGCCAAACTCACTTGTCCATGGACAAGTACTCTCTAAAAACGTTTTCTTACACTGTAAGGAAAAAACAATGCAGTACAAGACACTCAGATATAACTCAATCAGTAAATAAGCACATTGACAAACTAAATAATATTGCAAACAATTAAGAAAGAAGGAAGCATTATCATTCTTATCATTCTATTAATAAAGTAACGCCAGTGATGCCATTACAGAATTAGCTTTAAAGGTGGGGTAGGTAAGTTTCAGAAACCGGTTCGAGTGCACTAAAATTTGAAAGTACACAGCCGAAAATAATCCGCCCCTTCCTTCAGACTTCCTTCCAGAGCACCTCCTCCAACACACATGAACGCGCACATGACGTCAGCAGACTGGTGAAAGTGGCCGCCTGTTGCTGGCTAGTCATTGAAGTACTGCTGCAATGCACGCCCAATGACGGCACGCCCAATGAGGGCACGAGATACATTTGTGCGTGCAGGAGATGGAAGGCTGACAGACAGGGCGGCAATCCAATCCGTTTAGCCGGGCCAGCTAAACGGATTGGTTGTACTTTTTACAGAACTACGGCTTCAAACAGATGACATTTTTTTATGGATTTTTTGTCAAAGCACTTCAGATATTCATTGCTATCGGGATGTTAAGAGCATTCCATGGAATATAACAAAAAGTGTATCTCGAGCCGGTTTCTGAAACTTACCTACCCCACCTTTAAAGATAAAACAAGCAAAATGACTGAAACATTTGAAGATCGTATTTTACTAGCTTTTTATATTATTTTCTTACAGTTTTCATACTGTACTTCATGTTGTCTCAAAATTATACAAAATGAAATCATTATAGAATCATATATTATTATTCTTTATAATGTATTATTATGTAATTTGTTTACAGTTGGAATCCCTCACAATTCACTTTTTGATCGTGTTTCAGGATGATGTGGGCAGCAGGAACAGTAGCAGCCATGTCCTCCATCACCTTCCCAGCAGTCTCTGCTCTGGTGTCACACTGCGCAGCACCTGACCAGCAAGGTCTGTCCACCTGTCTGTCCATCTGTCTGTCCACCTGTCTGTCCACCTGTCTGTACATGTCTGTCCACCTGTCTGTCCACCTGTCTGTCCACCTGTCTGTCCACCTGTCAGTCCACCTGTCTGTCCACCTGTCAGTCCACCTGTCTGTCCACCTGTCTGTCCACCTGTCAGTCCACCTGTCTGTCCACCTGTCTGTCCACCTGTCTGTCCACCTGTCTGTCCACCTGTCAGTCCACCTGTCTGTCCACTAGTGCTGGGGGGGAAACGATTATTTTGAAAACGATTAATCGGGCGATTATTTGATCGATTAGTCGACTAATCTAACGATTATTTTTCTGTTGTTCAATTCATAAAAAACGTAATGTAAAAAAAACGTAATGTAAAAAAAAATGTTTCACGATACTGTGTCTCAGGGAATCTTAATATTTAAGAACCTATTAATGTGTTATACCAGATTAACGGAAATAATCTCAGCTAATTGACGATACAAACCATGTTTACCAAAACAAAACACAAGTCTCATAAGAAGCATCTAAATGACCCCTGAGCGAAAAATGCTAACGGACATTGGCACAGAACTCAAGATAAAAGTACCCTTATTATTTATCGTAGCTGCACATACAATATATCCGATTAAAGCTGAGACTCCACAGATTATGTAGGTATATAGTATCATCACTGAGTGATCCGGACTCGCGACAGGGGAAGCAAATACAGTCATCACAACACGTACCTTCACAGAGCTTCTAGGGAGATCGTCTCACCACCGTAGCTGTCAATCTGATCAAAAGACGTGTTCAATGGCAATAAAATGAGAAAAAACGCGGCTGAATCGGTTAATCCATAGGTTTTTAACGTCTATGTATAAAAAAAATGATTGAATTTATAATCCATAATTCCATTTTATGTAAAAAATCGGAGAGCAAATGCTAGCTGCTAATGGTAGCCACCACAGCTAGCTGCGGCCGGCCTAGGCTATGCAGCAGTCTCAGTGAGATATAAATATATAAATATCTTTGCGTTTTGGACTAACTTTAAAATATTCCCATGCTTTTGAAGACCTAGGGCGAGATGTTTTCGTTTGGGGGCTTCGTGCGCAATCCTGTGAGGAGGAGGTGGTAGCCGTTTCAGTCTCCATTGTGTTTGAAGTGCGATTGCTAACTGCTTGTTGCTTTGGGTGACCCACGTGTGTGTAGCGACGCGTCGACGCGGAAATATGTCGTCGACGATATTTTGAAGTCGACAGCGTCGACGCGTCGCTACAGCACTACTGTCCACCTGTCAGTCCACCTGTCAGTCCACCTGTCAGTCCACCTGTCAGTCCACCTGTCAGTCCACCTGTCAGTCCACCTGTCAGTCCACCTGTCAGTCCACCTGTCTGTCCACCTGTCTGTCCACCTGTCTGTCCACCTGTCAGTCCACCTGTCTGTACATGTCAGTCCACCTGTCTGTCCACCTCTCTGTCCACCTGTCTGTCCACCTGTCTGTCCACCTGTCTGTCCACCTGTCTGTACATGTCAGTCCACCTGTCTGTCCACCTGTCTGTCTGTGTGTCTGCCTGAAGTAGAGAACATGGATACATTTCTTTTTGCCCGTTTCTCTGTGTGAGTTTCTTTGTTGATGCATGTTTGAACCCTTCCTCATTGTGTGTCTGTGATTTTTCAGGTGTGGCCCAGGGGATGATCACAGGTATCAGAGGTCTATGTAACGGCTTAGGACCGGCTCTCTACGGCTTCATCTTCTTCCTATTCAACGTGGAGCTGAATGACGTCCCGCACGTGGCAGGAAGACCCCCACAGCACAAAGAGGTACAGACACATACATAGCCACATACACAGGAAGTCAGCCGCTACCTTACCCGTATTACATTCTTATCGTTTTTCCAACCCAGTTCAGATTTAACCAGGCCCACTTCCACATCAATGTAGCTCTGCATGACTGCGTCATGGATGTATAAAGAGAACGTCGCCGTCCCCATGTCAACAACGCTAAAGGCATATCACGTCTTCTCTAGCTTGGGAAAAACGATATGGGCTGTTAAACTGTCAGAGTAAGGGAAAACCTTCCAGCGGTCTGCAGCAAGAGGAATATTTGTTATCCTGACAGTGTTGGAGGATACCAAAGTACATTTACTCAAATACTGTACTCATGTACAAATCGTGACAAAACAACTATAAAGCTACATATTATTTTTTAATCCATGGTGAATTTTATTTTTATTTTGTTATTTACATTGACCCAGCTATGCATAACTGTGACCTTCTTTTTTTTAACTTTATTTTCCTTTTTCTTAAACAACACATACAAATAAAAGACAAATAAACTGACTTTCGTTCATATTAAAAAAGCGTTATCGTCATCTACTTTGAAAAAGATGCTCTATGAAGCGACTGTAGCTTCAGATTCATATTTCGTGATAGACTCCAAGACTGATGCTGCACTGACTGATTAACAACCCATATCGTTTTTTTCCCCAAATGATAGTATTCACTAGGGCTGCACGATTTTGGGAAAAAATCTAATTGCGATTCTTATGACAAATATTGCGATTCGAATTGCGATATTTGTTTTTAAGCGACCCAACGGAAGTTTATTGTAAAATGCGGCCATAACTCCGGCTAGGAAGGTCGTATCAACGTGCTCCCGTCTCTAGCACCCCGCAGCCCGAGCTACGAGTGAAAGAACTAAACTTACATGAAACTTCCGTTGGGTTGCTTTAAAGTCAAGCTTCAGTTTAAGATTCACCCTGTAATAGAAACATGTGATGGAGCATTACTAACCTGACTCAGATGGTTGGTTTCACCAAAGCATCTAAAGCTCCAGTGGAAGCCATTTGGAAAGGGCAGGCACTTTCAGAAGCACTTGGCAGGTGATTGAATCAATCTGTCTATCACCTTCTATCATGGGCTACTTCTGATTGGTTAACAATGACTGGTACATGTGGAGCACAGCACTTCTGATTGGTGTGGATGTCTGACACACAATAAAAATAAAATTGTAAAAAAAAAAATGTGTTAAAAAAAAATCGCAGGCTTTGCGATTTGATAATCGCATCATTTCAAATTTCGATTTAAAATCGATTCATCGTTCAGCCCTAGTAGACGTAAGTGGGTGTGGTAAAATCTCAACTGGGTTGGTAAAACGATAGGTGCTCAGGGGCCAGGGTTTGGACTGGATTTCTTTTCAGTTTTTGGCAGCACAGTCAGGGGTTTATGTCCCCCTTCATGCAGGGTTAGCAGTCGCAAAAGCAGCCCTTCCCTTTGTGAATTTCCTCCGTAATGTGTTTATCTCTCTCTGTCTGCAGAAGGCCATGATCCCCGGTCCTCCCTTCCTGTTCGGAGCGTGCGCCGTGTTTTTTGCTCTCATTGTTGCCTTCTTCATCCCAGATGACCACCGACTGGTCGACGGCAAGACCTGCTCCACCCGCAAATCCAGCAGCGCCTCCACCGCACACGCTCAGAGTGCTAGCCCTCTGGCCACGCCCACCAGTGACGCAGAGGACATCGAGCCGCTCCTACAGGACAGCAGCATGTGACTGACAAGCAGTCCAGCCAATCACGGTGCAGCGGCCTTGAGCACAGTCTGCTAGACCTGCCCTCCCCTTCAGAATAAACTTTTTTATTTTTTTTATTTTTTCAGATACAGACTGTCCCGTCAAGGAACGTTAGGCGGCAATCACACTGACAAGTTTAATTTCTTTACATGATGCATGGTATTTATTTCCTTATGTTTATGTTGCGCTAATTGATTTTAATTATATTCAGATTGGTCTAAAATGTAGCTTCAACATTTGAAATCTCAACGGACTGGTTGTTTTAGTCTGCTACTTCCAGTTCTATTTTCTTTTTGATGAAAACAAAAACAGAATTCATTACATTTAGCCTGTATGTTCGATTGGGCGACAGTACATGAGTCCGAGAAAGATGACAATGTTGGTCAAGATCAAATTATTATTATGAATTTGAATCACTCAAACACCAGGACTATAGCTTGTCCTTCCATGTCAGTGAACTAGTTTTGGATCCTTAGACTTTAACCTCCATCCGGTAGAGATGCGTGATGGAGGTAGTCATGGGAACAGATGTAACCTTGGATATAGTTTGCTGAAGTGTAACGTACCATGCATATCACTCACATTTTTAAAGCCTTCAGTCTGGTTGCCGCCTAATATCTCACTTTAAGAGTCATATTGCCTCTGTGTGCATCTGCACCTAGCTCCACCCGTCAGGTCTGCAGAGGTCAGCAGATCAAACACCCCTCACATGCAATGAGGGACAACAAGAAGCTACCGACTGTTTAACTTGAAACTTCATCACGACGGGAGATAAGGCGGATCTGCTGGGCATTGTGGGATATGACACGGGAGATGGTGTTATATCAGTGGATAAACAGTTACCAAGACAACGGACTGTCGACCACACTGAGCATGTGCAAGATCCGAACAGCTGTGACATCATCCTCTACTGCTGTTGGTTTTCATATTGAGGAAGAACTAGGAAAATGAGACGACGGTTGATTTTAGGCGCGCTTGTACGGAGCTGGGGAGGTGTCATAGAGGGAGGGGGTGGCTTTCTGAGAACCATTTATTGATTTATGCTCTGAATGTAATGTTATTTTGCCTCCTCCTCTCTTGGGATGATAGGAATGAGTCTCTCTAGCACATTTCTCTGGAACCTGATGTATTTGCTGCCCCTGTGGTAGCTAAAACCTGAAGCCCATTAGGAAAGCATATCATTAAGGAAACGCTTCCTCGCATGCTTTTCTGAACGCTGATGCCCCACCACATGCAGCTGGTTTCCTTTTTATTCTTTGCGCCCTTGCTGCTCAGACAGCCTCTATCCACCCCTGCTGTTAAATCAATTGAATCTCAAAGACAAAACAACGTTGTGTTTAACAGAACAAATATGGAGTATATCAGTAGAGTCTCAGATCCGTTATAGTCTGTCTAGTGAGAAACTTGTATTAAATCCAGAGCATAAATGAGTAAATCCAGATGTTCCCTCCATCACACCCCCCGGCTCAGTGCGCTTCATTCATCTCACCAGATCACGTTTTATTATCGGGTCTATCGCCCTCTCCTCGTCTGTTCTTCTGGTGTTTAAATACTTGAAGTGTGTTACGCCTGTCAGTTATTTCCAGGCTCTGAAACTGCCCCTCAAGGTAGGACGAATCAAGCGCTCCAGCGAGGAACTGATGTTCTTTGTCTGACTTTGACCTGTGCAGCTAACACTCTGTTTTCCTCGTCTGTAGTCAGATTTTTAAACAACGAAAAAGTCCCGACTCCAGCCTGGGGGTTGTTGACCAAATTGTGCCATTTATTTTCTTGTTGAGTTTTCTGTTTCTATTCTTTTGTCACTTTGTTCTGATGTTTTTAAGAAATGTCTTTCCCAAAAAGAACACCCTCTCTTAGAATCACAGAGAACAAACGGCCAATAGTGTCCCTCTCTGGTTAGATGTGATCTAAAAGACCCCCCCCCCCCCCCCATAACTTTCACACCAGTGCATGCTGGGACAGTCACCATGTCCATTGATGGATGTGATGTTTAAAGGACTACATCGATGTCTTGTAACCTGTTACTTTATCTTTTTGCACACCCGTCTTCATTAAATCACCTTGTTTGACGTCACATGGTCGGCCTGTAGAGAGAGCAGACTCAAATATTTCCTGTTATTATAAATTGGTTAAATATATGTGTGCTTCTATCCACCTGTTTTTATGAGTTTTTCAAATCGTGCATTTAAAAACCTGAGTGAAGAAGCCAAAACAATTTAGAAGATGGTGTATGGATAGAAATGCAACAAAGTGATGTGCACTCCCCTTTAACACTTATTTTAACAATTTCTTCATAGAATAAATCCATTTCAAAACAAGTTGAGATACAGCACCATGCAATTGTGTTCATGAAAGCACCAACAAGGAGGGTTTTCAAAACCAAAAGTCATTGTATTGCTTTCAAACACACTTAGACATTTTATTTTATATTAATAAGTATTGAGTGCAATAGATTATCTCGTCTTTTTATGTCTGCTATTTTCATCAAAATGAACAGAAACAAGTGGCTGCCTTAAAGGAAGACGGACCATTTAAAAACTGATGGAGAATAAGCAGCAACACATGAACCTCTGATATATAGCGTTCTTATTTTGTATGTGATAAGCGATCAATCCATTTCTGAAATTCTGTCCATTCATTTAAAACTCACATCCTCCTACAGTCCAAATTATTGTAAAAGAAACGGCTGTTTTTAAAGTCCTATCTGATGTGCGGGAACCCCTAGTTTCTGACGGGTCTCCGTTACAGACGTTACAAAAGTAACAAATGTTACATTCGATGTCAGTTCATAGCTGGCGTTTTTTATTCAACATGACCTGAATGCAGCATCACACGTCGTTGTGGGAGATGATGATGATGATGATGGTCTGTGTAGCTTGATGAAGCGCAATCACGTTACAATTTGTCGGATTCATGTGGAAGAGTTTCTCAAATTTAATCTTTAAAACATGCAATTATTTTTCCTTTAAGCTCTCAATCGATCCAAATTGTTTTCTTTCGGTTTTTAAATCTTCAATCTCATGTTTCTCTCTTTCTCAAAGATGATGTCAAAAGCAGAAGTTGGACCTACAGTATATTTTTCTACAGTCAATCTGAACCAATCAATATCCCAGAATGCATCAGTGTTTTTAGCTAGTTCTCCTCCTGTGTGCTGTCCGGTCTTTATGTTGCTGCTGCATTCACGTCTCATGGGAAAACATGGACAACACTTCCTGCGCGCGCTGCTAACATGGATCCATGCATACAACTGCAAATGTCTTTTTAAATCTTGTTACCTGAAACTGAATGTCATTGGTCAGCAGTGGGACATTTGAATGAGTATATTTCACCGTATTTAAAACATGTCATGTATTGCAAGTGTATTTGTTCATCGTTATACTTATCCAGCTGTTTAGACTTTTAACACGCCAGAGCTTTTGTAGAAAACCTGATACACATTTTAGAATAATTCAAATAGGTAATGCTTTGGTAGCAACACTTTCAAACAAACTTGGATGTACTTATCTTAGAATTAAGTGTTACTCCGTGTTGAAAGGTGTGAAGTTCCACTTTCCGATGGGACGTGAAGCGACAACATGGCCGACAGTTGAAACTCACCAAACTGATGATGGCTCTGTTTTTGTACGTCGCCACTAGTTACTGAATATACATCTTTAAGAGGACTTTGATTTGAGTTCATGATCATTATTCAAACTTCCTCCCCACTCCTCTTCCTCCTTCTTCCTCCCCACTCCTCTTCCTCCTTCTTCCTCCCCACTCCTCTTCCTCCTTCTTCCTCCCCACTCCTCTTCCTCCTTCTTCCTCCCCACTCCTCTTCCTCCCCACTCCTCTAACTCCTTCTTCCTCCCACTCCTCTTCCTCCTTCTTCCTCCCCACTCCTCTTCCTCCTTCTTCCTCCCCACTCCTCTTCCTCCTTCTTCCTCCCCACTCCTCTTCCTCCTTCTCCCTCCCCACTCCTCTTCCTCCTTCTTCCTCCCCACTCCTCTTCCTCCTTCTTCCTCCCCACTCCTCTTCCTACTTCTTCCTCCCCACTCCTCTTCTTCGTGTACATGATGCAGACCAGTTGCTGATGCTGCACTTTAGTGTCTCTGAACGGGTGCCTCTAATCATTCTCCATGTTCATATCAGTTTTGATATAGACTAAGAGACGCTGAATGACGTCTTTGTGTTGTGCATTTGCAGTTGCTTTCTTTGATCTTATTAAGAACATAATTTTGAATAATATCTATAATAATAATAAAGAGAAATGTATGGAATTTGAGCTGTGTGCTTATTTGTTTTCATTTGGGGTTTAAGAACTGTAAAAGTAGATCCAACACAATCTTAAAGGAATATTTTTGACATGTTGGTTATTGGTTAAACAGTTATTATTGTTTTGCTTGAAAAACAATCAGATTTTTGAAAAATAAAATAATCTTAGTTTACAGTTAACTTAGAGGAATGTGAACATCAAACCTTTCTAATAAATATACTAAATATATATATAGTTTTTTAGTTAACACATTTTTAACATTAAGATGAATGTTGCTTGCTTCTATAAATAAATAATGAATTATAACATTAGTTTTACATTTGGTTAAATTCATATTTGCTTCAAAACAATCAGATGTTTAAGAAATATTAAGTCTTTCTTGCAGTTATTAAAAAAACGACAAGGTGCACAAAGAACGTCTCCACAAACATGTATTACATCTGGAAAATGCATCGGAATAAAAACAGAAAAACACACTTCTTAATCAAAGCCTCACACACAATGATCAGTTATACAACTAATATCAAATAAAAAAAGGTTTTTGTAGTTATTTTGGAGAAGCCGATGGGAATAAATTCATGAATATGTTTGTTGCTATTTTTATTCTAAATAATAAATAGATGTTTTGATGTCACTGTTTGGTCACATTTACACCTTCAACCATAAAATCTAGTTTATCCCAAATATCATTTACAATACTAACAATACCAACACTGGTTTACAGTGACATTTAGTGGGGTATTGTCACAATGTTTTTGGGAACATTGATTTTGGAATGATGAGTTATTTATTAAAAGCAGAAAATCTTTTAAAAACACTCAAACATGACATTTATTTCAGTAGCAATTCATGAAATAAATGTACTCTCTGTATATCTAAATGTGTGTTTCAAAAACATGATAATGTGACAGAATTCTTATTTTAACATAACAAGCTTGTAGTATCAATTACGAGTCTTTACTTCTTTCTATTTTATCTAAAAATGTAACTTTTAAAACATTGAATTATCATACATTTTGGGGCTTTCTCTCTCCTGTAGTGGTTTGTATAGTTCTTGAGTGTTCTTGTGCTTCTGCAGCATTGGCCTCCTTTTTGTGCTTCCGTAACATGATGACATCACTATAGAACACTTGAGCTTGTATTGGCTAGCGCTCCAACACATTGAACGTGATATGGCTAAGGGGTGGGCCGTCTCTAAGCAGTTAACCAATCACAGAGCCGGCCAGCTAACCAATCAGAGCAGACTGGGCTCTGGTTTCAGACAGAGGGTGAAAAGAGGTGCTGCAGCACAGGCAGTATGAGAGAAATAAAGAGCTTTTTGAACATTAAAGCATGGAGACATGTCCCAGTAGAGACACTACATACTGATATACACCTGAACATCAGCAGGAGAGGACTCTTTAAAGTAGAGACACTACATACTGATATACACCTGGACATCAGCAGGAGAGGACTCTTTAAAGTAGAGACACTACATACTGATATACACCTGAACATCAGCAGGAGAGGACTCTTTAAAGTAGAGACACTACATACTGATATACACCTGAACATCAGCAGGAGAGGACTCTTTAAAGTAGAGACACTACATACTGATATACACCTGAACATCAGCAGGAGAGGACTCTTTAAAGTAGAGACACTACATACTGATATACACCTGGACATCAGCAGGAGAGGACTCTTTAAAGTAGAGACACTACATACTGATATACACCTGAACATCAGCAGGAGAGGACTCTTTAAAGTAGAGACACTACATACTGATATACACCTGAACATCAGCAGGAGAGGACTCTTTAAAGTAGAGACACTACATACTGATATACACCTGAACATCAGCAGGAGAGGACTCTTTAAAGTAGAGACACTACATACTGATATACACCTGGACATCAGCAGGAGAGGACTCTTTAAAGTAGAGACACTACATACTGATATACACCTGAACATTAGCAGGAGAGGACTCTTTAAAGTAGAGACACTACATACTGATATACACCTGGACATCAGCAGGAGAGGACTCTTTAAAGTAGAGACACTACATACTGATATACACCTGAACATCAGCAGGAGAGGACTCTTTAAAGTAGAGACACTACATACTGATATACACCTGAACATTAGCAGGAGAGGACTCTTTAAAGTAGAGACACTACATACTGATATACACCTGAACATCAGCAGGAGAGGACTCTTTAAAGTAGAGACACTACATACTGATATACACCTGGACATCAGCAGGAGAGGACTCTTTAAAGTAGAGACACTACATACTGATATACACCTGGACATCAGCAGGAGAGGAATCTTTAAAGTAGAGACACTACATACTGATATACACCTGAACATCAGCAGGAGAGGACTCTTTAAAGTAGAGACACTACATACTGATATACACCTGAACATCAGCAGAATATGGCCCCTTTCATAATCATATCCCCTTTGACACCCTCTGAGAGAAACACCGAAACTTCAGAGATTGAGGCAGGAAGTTAGCGAAATAGCGTGTCGTTAGCTAATGTATTTCATCAGCATGAAATGACGTAAAGTTACTGAACGTAATGTGAATATAAAGAGCACCCTCCAATGATCTTCAATTCACTCACATGGTGACAGACTGTCAGCTTCATCTTCCTCCTCCTCTCCCTCACAGCAGGCAGGAGATGGAGACTTTGGTCGTAGATTCAGGGACGGTTTCTGGTGTAGGACAAACAACGAATCAGCTGATTTATGAGATCATCTGCTGTAAATTTAAACTGAATTTAAACGTTAAAATGAGATTTAAAACATTTTGAGTTACTGAAACACTCAAATGTATACAAAATGTAAAATTAGAAATGAAAAAGAAAAATTACACAATTTACAACACATCCTGTACCAGTTCTGAGAGCAGCCAAGTATATATTGCACATACGGCATATATATGTATTGCACATAGTTGGTATTTAACAACAAGGGGTGTTATTGCATAGTCTAAGTTGTTATATGTGTAGGGGTCTACTACGGTGGCTGAGAAGTTGCAAAAGAAAATTAAAAAGTGTGAAACACTTTAACAAAGCTTGAGACAAATTTACATTTTATAAAAACAAAATTACATTTTATAAAACGAAATTACATTAGCGAAACGCTTTTACAAGAACTGAGACACATTTATAAGTCCCGAAACACTTTAACATTTCCCGAAACACCCGATTATTACGCCTTATTATTAGTTTTATGAAGGAGATGTCCGGTGTGTGTGTGTGTGTGTGTGTGTGTGTGTGTGTGTGTGTGTGTGTGTGTGTGTGTGTGTGTGTGTGTGTGTGTGTGTGTGTGTGTGTGTGTGTGTGTGTGTGTTGTGTGTGTGTGTGTGCACTCCGACAGCACTGAGCACTACATTGAGATTAAGATTACACATTTATTTCACTTGTGAACACACACATATGGAGTTGGCCAGATGTGTGTACATTTCTGTTCATGGTCAGCTCGCCCACTCTGTTCTGATTAGTCAACCACCGTTACAGCGGAACATCAGTGATTATGTGTTACAATGGCGTTACTAGCAACCAGAAAATGACACCAGTCTAGCTTCCTTCGAGTTTAGTGTAAACAACATATTGGTTCTCATAACATTCTCACTGCTGTGCTGTCCCAAATGTTTTAAACATTGGGCAGACAAGCACACACACACACACACCCACCCACCCACCCACACACACACCCACCCACCCACCCACACACACACACACACACACACACGCACACACACACACGCACGCACGCACACACACACACACACACACACACACACACACACACACACACACACACACACACACACACACACACACACACACACACACACTTTGAATAAGTATTCACCTTATCCAAATTGTAAATTGTTGCCTTCTTTAAAGTTATTAGTAATTCAAGATTAATTATTAAATTAAATGTGGTACATAACATAGAATAAACAAAATAACTTTGACTTGATAATTTTGTTCACAACATTAGACCTTGTCCTCTAATCTCTACTAGAATAAGATACGTGTGCATGTTTGGGTGTTTTAACACTCCTGTAATGTACCTAATCTTGTTATCCTTTTCATTACAGAGCTGGGGAAATGGTGTATTGCTTAGATTCTGATCCGTGCAAGTCCAATTTTGACTGACTTTAGTTATAATGTTAATGTTAATTTCATTTCAACCCATAAGTAATTATTTAGATTAACTCAACATTTCACATGATGGATTAGTGCTCCACATTTATTTTCCCCACTCATTTGTTGTGCAATTAGGCCAATGGTAAAGAGAGACATTGATGACCTTATGTCCCTTTTGTTAGTACGTGGTTCCATTTTGTCTATGGCCTTGGACGGCTTCACTAAGAGTCACCCAGTTCTACCCTGCTACAGTCCGGCTGAGTGCAGTCACAGAGATGCTATGGCTGCTCTACATGAAATGACATTAATGGTCTGGTCCGAGAATGGGCACCATTTCCTGCTCCCAGAGACAATGACGCTCCACAAATTGACACTGTCTCACGTGGGTCGGCTCCCCCCCACCGAGCCATGAACTGAAAGCTTGACATCTGCTTTGAACACCTGGAAGCCTCCCGGTCACACCAGCACCAACCCTTGGGTCAGTCAGATGGGACTAACGGCTTAACTTAGGGCATTTGGGTCAGACACATGACTCTCGTTACCGCAGAGTGGGTTGTTTTTTTAAGGCTATTCATACTGCTATGCAGAGGATTTCTGTAGGTTGACAAGCTGTTAAAGGCCCCTACTATTTAAAAAAAAATAGGCCTAATGTCAGGGTCCTCTTAGTTCTACATGTATTCACATTATATGGACAATGTTTCCACCTGTTAAAACTAAAGGCTGCACGGTACTCAGGCTACAATACAACCATTCTGTTCTGCTCTGACGATTCAATTGATAGATTCTACATCAAAACAATTAGCTTTTATTGTTTCCAATGATAACGTCACTTTAAGTGGAGGAATGCAAACCTGTTTTCAAATGTAAGGTTTTGAATTTGTTTGACATTCCTCAGTAATAACACCCTCAGACACCCACTATCATTCATGCTATGCCTTCAGTAGTGACTCAGATGTTAAGGGGATGAAGCTTTTCCTCCCAAATCAGATATGCTTTGTTTTTCAACAAAGGTATGCATTTCCTGCATAATATATGTTTCTCACAATTGTTTTGTTTTTTTGCAAGCTGCACACAGGTGATACTGAGTCTTCTCGAGTAATAGATTATAAACTACACCATGCTTAAATAGACTCCTAAGTTATTATTTCATATGTGACATATGTAAGAAAGGGGAGGGAAGAGTCAATTATATTGAGTAATTGATTTTATATTGGAACATTTATTTCTCAAACCTGTTTTATGGAAGAGAAAAAAAGAAAATATTTCTGATAAACTAATATTTTATCAAATGGTGAATTAATATAACATTTAGAATCATTGAGAAGGGGTTATATCCAGGCACTAGCTCACCTTTAAATTACAATAACATTTCTCTGCTTTGGACTGATGAGTATATGATTCTTGCATGTTAAATGACTAACACAAACCTTACATGTATGCATGTGCATGTGTCAGGAAGGCTCCCAAATAATTCTGAGGGGCCTATCCTATTTTTGTAATTAAATGATAATGTGCTAATCCATTACTTTGAGTTGTCGGCACTCAGGAAAACATCCCTATCAAGTGTTAACCCAATAACTAGGACAGCTCTGAAAGCCAAGGGTCAGAGAGAGAGGGTCACACTCTCCGGCTGCAGAGGGCACCCCTCATCCACGGGCAAGGAGGCACAAGGTCGTTCGAGATGAGAGGATTCTAATCTTCAACTTTCTGAGGAGATGGGATGCTTCTTCACCATTCTGCTCGGTGGGCTCAGGCAGACAACCCTGCGGGACGAGCGAGGACTTCAGAGGCTACAAGGTTCCTTTTTTCTTGGAGGAGCAGATGTCTTCCTAACCTCTCCCATCACGGGGGGGACACCTGGATGCGCCACTTGGAATACGCAGTTGCACTGCTCTCAAGCAGATAGCAGAAGGAATGCAGGCGGATGAGCCTCCGTTTCACTGGGGTGATCATACAGTGCTCACTGAATGAGCCACAAAAGCAGAGCAATTGGGGGGTTGAAATATGACGCTCTGATGACGAAGAGTTTGAGCCAATCAGCACCTCAGTGCTAATCTACAGTATCAGGATGCCTTTACACACACCAGACACTCGTTGTCATAAAGAGAGGAGGAGAACGAGTCAGAAAGACTGAAGGACACATTCTTCCAGCTCTCGTACAAAGATGAACTTTGAATTGATTTGATATCTTGGATGTTTACATATGTACAATTAATGACTGTTTTTATATTTCCAATGACGAGACATGTGTTGAATAGTGGTGATTCATATATTTTTGCCGGATCAGATTACACTTTCGCACTTAACAAAATTAATTAATTAATATTTTCAGATGATAAAGTATTAAATCATAAGTTATTTCTACTATTATCACAGATAATGTTAATATCCTTAATCGTCCAGCAATCAGGCTTAACAACACTACTCTTTAATGTATTATCCATGCACAGAAAGACCTACAATGATGTTTCAAGTACTGGATTAATTTCAGTTTTGGCCCAAAACTAATATTTATAATATTTCATATAACAATTATGTAGCATATTTGATCCTCAAATTAGAGAAGTATAATTTAAAGAAATTGATATTATACATTCAACATTAGATAAACACAGAAGAATCCTTTCCAAGTACCATAAGTAGCTCAGGTAAGTATGGCTAATAGGAATAATTGATAGACTTAATTTGGTACAGATCAGTGGTAGCATTCACAAATGTAATAATTCAAGTTTTAAGAATGTTTAATCCTTCCTTTCCAGGTTTTTACAAAAGTCTTTGAATATTTGCCTAACTTTTCCTTTTCAGATTTTGAATGTATTGATATTACTAAAACTAAGTGCCTGACTCTTAAAGTAATCCTAAAATTGAGGACACTGCAATTTTGCAGATTACAGATTGATCAAATCACCATTGTGAATTCTATACTCTAACTGTGAATGTTTAGCTGGATCTCTTACAGTCCTGAGTTTTAAAATGCTTTTGACTAGTGATTGCCTTGAAGTAAATCTTTAAAGCGGCAAGCTGGTTTTGATTTTATAGTTTGATGAATGAAATTAACTAATGGTAAATGATAAAAGATATTAGTTTAAAACAAATATTTAGCTATTGTGCACCTGTGTTTTATGTGTGTTCATTATTATGCTTTTGACAAAAGATGATCAAACACTGATGAGAGATGATTTTTCCTATTATGATTGGCTGTATCAATCATTGTGATTGGATGTTTCAATCTTGTTCTACTTTGTGATGTAATTAATGTAAGGTGAGACCACACTCGAATATTGAGTTAAGTATTGACCAAATTATTATTAGACTAATATTTTTAGGTTATCATAAATGATAAAAAGAGAAGACTGTTAGGGAAATAAATTGACCTAGACTCCTAGATATGACGTACAGGACCAACCCTGACGTCTGTTTACCTCCTTTAAGGACACAGGCTGTTTCAGCCATAATGTTATTGTTCCCATTCTGTGACCGGTCAACACTAGGTCACAGATGGTCTGTTGTTGTGGGTGCACTGGGACACTTCCTTCTTTGTTGTTTGTGGACTCC